CTTTTACTTGACGTTGCAAAGTGTGACAGATACACACGAAATAATGTGGAAGAAATTAATCCGAAGTAGAGTGTAGCCAAATCTTGCAAAAAGTGTGCTTGCTGTAACAGCTGTGGTGATGCGACTGAAGGTGGAATGGAAGCACATTTTATGGAAAGTGAGAGCGTGGACACAAGAGTTTTAAGAAGTGGAAGAGGGTGTGTGGACGGAAGAGAGAGTAGCACCGATCGCAGTCGTTCACTAAATCACCTCAAATTCAACTGGAAGATTAGAATTTGGTGGTCTAATTTAGCCGCTGTGAAGAAATGCCTGCCTTGAGACCTCTTTGTCTCTGTCCCTCCAGTTGTTCACATTTACAACTTGATTCAGTGCGCTGATTATGTCATATTCGTTGGACAAGTGATTCGTGGATTGGTACTGTATTTCTTCCTAATATCGGAAGTTACGAATCTATCGGTGGAGTTGTATGTAAATGTATGGCAATATGGACTGAGTGAGCATCAATAAGATGGTGGCATTACCTCCTATTATTAAATTGTTTGAAATATGGCAAAGGTAGGAGAAGCAATGTAGAAAATAGCGCCTTGAATCCAAATACGAACGTATTCAGCTAAAAGTATGGCTGTAGTGAGGTAGAGGTAGATTCCAAGAGAAGGGGTAAGATAATCACAAGACGTTGGTGAAGGAGAAAAAGGCACACTGTTTGTGAGAGAGGGAAAGGAAGGGGGAGGGTAGATAAAGGAGTGCTGATCACACTCAATTGTGTTAATAGCATTTCAAGGTGTCAATACATCACTGCTTCCATTAAAGTGGACCCATCTTGGGACCACCGCAAATGAAGAGTTAGGAGCTCACTTGAGAAGAGGTGCTTTGGGAGGAGGCTTGTTTTCTTACCCATTTTTATCGATGGACTGCATCGAAGTCTTTTCACAAGTTGTGTGTGTGGCAGAAGCACGACAGATTCGTGTAAACTACTCTACACACCAGCGATGCCTTTTTACGGCACCGTGGCAACATGACAGCAGTGTATACAATCTTTCGAAGGGACTAATCCGTGTCCATCCCCATTTTCTCCACATACTACACATCCAGAGTTCATTTACGTGGAAAGGGTAGAGAGAGATAAAACTTACGGACTTTTGTTGGATAACACTGGCTATATTATATGACCAGGGCTAGGAAATTTACATCAGAGAGGCAATTTGTTGACCAGTTGCGGGATGCTGCGCTTGTAAGTGACCGACCCTGGCTTGGCTGACAGATTTCCAGCCATATATGCGGTTGGAATTTTAACACAGAAGTAGACGTTTGCATCTACCCACCGACTCCCATTAACTCAAATATGCAAGCAAACTTTTGGGTGATGGAGATAATAAAAGGGTTGAGGCCTTCGCCAAATACCTGTATTTTCGAGAAACACATAGACGCTGACTTCCATCACAGCATTGAAAATGGAGAATGAATTCAACTGGCATCAAAACACGGTTAACTACTCTATAGAAGATCGACTTTATTTGTGGCATACATTGACGCAAATCCAGATTTCAGTACAAAGAAGTGAAACAGCGAATTCATGTGCGTGGAAGGAAGCCAGGCTGCGAGTTCTTGTGGACAAGGATAGCTTGGTAGTAAAAGAGGCTTACTGCTGGCCAAAGTGCGATATCTGGGTGCAAGTTATGTAGTAAGCTGAAGGAAGAGACCTAATTGTTCTTCGTCAATAGGATAGAATATACGAACCAGTGCAATTGACCCTAGTGAAAAAGAAAATCGCTTCGACGTTAGGAGGAAGAAGATATTCACAATGCTTTGGTTATTTGTCTAGCTCTCTGTTTCAATTTTGCAGGGATTTAGGTCTTCTCCTCTGTACTTCAGCTGGGCTGCATGGCCTCCAGGCCACACCAGTAGTCGTCCTCATCCAGCCCTACTGTACATCTGCAATACATATTCTCTCTACTTACCCCTTCATGGAAGTGCCTGGGCGCCGCACTGATGGTAGGAGAAAGAGGACCTGATCTTAATTCACATTTATCCTGGTTTCTTCCTCTGAGCGTTAAACCTATACGTTACGGAAGTTGGCTTATGCTGCGGATGAGAGAATCTATGGGAGAAGGATTGAAAATGGCGTCTACCATTGGCAACGACCCCAGTCCCTTTTTCTGAAGGCATGTTAATAAAAATTGCAGCGACTGTGCAAAAGTTTTGTTGATGACCTGCCTCCTGTACCTGAATGAAGATGCGAATGAAGTGAACACGCAATATCTTTACTACTTCCATGCTATGTGGGTGTTGACCACAGAGACATAACTAGGCACTACTAAAATAAAAACAAAGTAGCACGAAAAGCAGGCGCGAAACTTCATCCCTATAAAACTATTTAAAACCCCGTCCCTAAGTAAGTGACGCCATTGTTACTCCAGATTTGGAGAACATGTCAAAGGAGATCGGTGACGTTACAATCAAACATCCCTTCAGTCGCGAGTAAATAGGATGACTGGTGCAGTTGTTTTGTGGGTGCTTTTCAAAGAGCACCAACTGCATTGTAGTTACCAACTCATGAGATAGACTAAGAGGAGGGCCTGAATTAAAGCTAAAAAGAGAAAGGGGTTTATGCGATGCTTTGATTGGTTGCTTAACTCTTCGTTTTGATTTAGCGGGTACTCACATGTCAGCATTTTTACTTTCATTAGGCAGAACGACCTCCGGATCATGCCAGTAGCCACTCTGTCTGTCTTCACTTTGAAAATATATGTATTATGAAATCTTTTGCCTTCAAAAAAGCCCCGGGGCTCCACATTCCCCCATTATCAGCTCTGATAATCGCTGAACAGACTAAAACCATATTCAAATGCGGATATGAAGGTGTCCTAGGTGTTGGAATAATTACTGCTATGAGAAGATGGAAGAATCACATCTTGGAACCCTAGAAGGGTTAAATTTTTGCAGTCGTAGCTCAAATATTCCGCTTTCTTTCCTTTTAATTCAATTCTTGATTGGATATTCAAATCTTAAACGTCCTCCGCTTCATTTAAAAACTGAGGAAAGGTGGTAATTGACAATTTATCGATTAATCGATAAATTTTTAATTACCACATATAATTTGGTTTGCATTTACCTAATTAACAGTTGAGGCAGCTTCCGTCTGAGAGGAGCTGCAGCTCTCTAAAACCGTTGGAGTTTGATTATAAAGGTCAACTGTCAAAAGGAAGATGAGTAACGACGGCAAGAGATGTGGAACGGACTCCTCGGCGTGCAATCCACAAGCAAGTAGAAGTAGGTTCTCTCCGCTCAAGGTTAAGTAAATGATGTTGGTTATATTCTGCACTTATAGCTTGCATGTTAGGCCTTGCCATACCAGATGATTGTTGCATGGCTTTTCTATCTCTAGATGATGAATGCAGTCCACGTGGTGGCAGATGTAACCAAGGGGCAAGTCCAAGTAGAGGTAAAATTGTACGAGCTTTTTAAGCCTTGCTTTTTTAAATTAAAAGTAATTTTAAAAACTAAATCTCGATTGCTTTACACATGAAGATTCGGTTACTGTGTTTCAATTTGTTAGGTCATTCAATAACAAGACGACCGCGGCCAATTAATGGCAAGACTGTTTAAATATTATTTTTAAACTCAAGACCTGTACATTTAATCATCAACTATTTGATGACTATTCAATTTCAGGCGAACAAAGACGTTCAAATCCTGACACGTGTCATCAGGAAAGAGCTTTAGGCGGAGGTTAATTATGCTTTTCTACGTAAACATTTGCTCTCTTTTATTCCCTTACAAGTATAGGCAGTAGTATGTAAGCTTATATATTAAAAATCTGCATCTGGTTAGAGTTTTCTCGACCCCAATTTCTACTTAATTTTATAGTGCTACTAAGAGATTGGCATCCCTTACAAAGCAGCCTGAAATTGTATGCATTTTTAAAACCTACAATCATAGCTGTAAAATTAGTAAGAATGAAAAACAGAGCGTCTATTATAAGTAGTCTTGACAGGCCCACAACACTTTTCAACTGTATTTCAGGACAGGAATCAGTGCCAGCTCCCAAAGGAGGTGATTATTCCTTCCGCATTGTTGTGCATTGCCATCTAAAGTACAAATGGTTGATGTACATTAAGTAACACTGTTTATGTGGAAATTTTACACGCATTTTACACGGTCATATAACCCCTTAAAACTGTATAACAATACCTAGCGATCCCAACCCATGCCTCTATTTTAGGAAGGAAATCGGACCCAAAGCCAGCCAACTTTATTACTTCTCCTAATCCAGGAATAGGTAATGCTGACCCTCATAGTTGGATATCATCATTCAAGGCATACTTATTTGCAATTAGCAAACTCGTAGGGGAAGGACAAGACAATTTGCTCCTTTTTAGATAGTTTTACGAACCTGCGAAACAATGTGACCCCATTGAGCCCCTTCTTTGTCTCTCTTTTAGGGGAAGTGTGGAAAGCAGGGACATGCGACGATGTTCATGGATTCAATCTAGCACGAGGTAATTTCAGCACCTCTTATACATTAACAAATACTTCACACATTCTTATCCAAAATAGCCTTGCATATAAATGCAAGCTGCAAGATGCAAGTTTGCTAGTCATCAAGCCTGCGAAATCTCTTTAAGTGTTTCATCTCTTCTATTGGTGGGTTGCAATGTTTGAGGGAGAACTAGTAACCCCTCCTGCCATAGATATTAGAAATCTAATGGCTCCTTACAAAAGCACGGTTAATTGTATGTTCATCTTAAATGATCGTGAGCTGTGGCTATATTTTTAGGAAGGAAATCGGATCCAGCACCTGCAAAATACATTATTTCCCCTAATCCAGGAATAGGTAATGTTATTCCGCACATTTGGGTATCATCAAGCAAGGTATCTGTCAAAGCTACCCAAAAGACAAGTCCATTTCATCATTAAAATAGTCCTACAGGGTTGTAGAGGTACTGATCTGCCGTCTTTTGTCCTTAGGGGAAGCGTGGAAGGCTGGTACTGCCAAAAACACAAGTGGATTTTGTAAAACAGGTAATTTTGTTTCTTATTGGCACATTAAAAATTGCAGTTCACATTCTTCTAAAAATTGCTAATTAACAATTAACAAAGTTTTTGAAATTTTGCTATAATTTTATCTTTAGAATCAAGTTTGCCTCGGTTTCGTGATTCATCTGATCCAGAAGGTAGGTTGCATTGCTTGTAGTTGTAAGTGGGCAACTAATGCCCTTTGTTGTTACATCAGTTGCCGTGAATTGGAATGAAAAAGCGTTTCAGTTTTTAATCTGCTGGCTAAAATTCTCCCATATTATAGGTATTTTAGTCTATGGTAAAATTTGAGTTCAGTGCCTTTGTCACTTTTTTTTAGATGATAATACATCTATTAGTAGCTAGGTAAAAGAAATGCGTACTCTCCAATTTCAGGAGGAAGTGGTCGAAACTCCAATTATTTAGGATTAGTTGAAATGAATCCACCCGCATGTAAGTTTGTATTTTACATATTCCACAATTAAGCTTAATAAGCTTCAGGGATTTCGATAACATTTTTTGTGGTGACATGCTACTCAATTCCTTTTGAGCAAACATGCTCATCAGGTTTGCTCTTCATCATCCTTTTCACGATGTTGATTCGCATTCGTCCAGGCTTCACATCTTGTCCTTTTGATGTCTTTTAATTATGGTCGCATATTCTGTGCCACTTAATACTCATGGACATCATATATATCAAACGAATGCACTTAGAGCCGAATTTGAAGGGTTGTGTGAGTTTATATTATTTCCACGGTTTTGGCATTATTAAGCGATTTTATTTCGGTAACGGTGCGATTTCTTATAGATGTGACATCTAAGTAAAGTGACTTGATTGAAAAACTTCATTTAAAGTGGTTATTATCCAGTTTGGACAACGACTCACTTAGCCACTCCCAGCAGGCAGTAATGCTCAAAATTTTGCTAGTCTTTGTTGAGTGTCTAAAAAAGTTACAGCAGTAATTCTTATGCCCAGACCCTTTCAAATGGTGCACCTATGGTCCCAAGTGCCTTGTTAGTAGAAAAGAACATTAAAGGTGAATCAATGCATGAGTGAATGATGATACTAAAAACCCCACATTTACCGTTTCTCTAAATCTGAGGTGCTTTGACTCCTAACCTTAGCGCATAATACATGGAGTTTATGTTGGTGTTAGCATCCTCCAGACTTCTTCCTTGTGGCTTATCAGTAAGATGACGAAACAGTACTACTTAAAAATTGAGATGCATTTTACCAGTAATATCTAACAAAGTGCTACAACTTCCAAATTCCCGAAGTGTACAGTGACTGATCCCATTGCTTCCTTTCTATTTTAGGTACAGGAGAGCAGCAGCTGAATGACTTCCCTTTATACACTGAAGGACCTGCTCCCGAAACCCAAGACCTGATTTCGCCTTACCTACTTACGGAGGATAAAGTGGTTCCGGTACTTTTACCCGCCTAATTTTTGCTGTGTAAAACAAATGAATTGCAAATTTCTTTATGTATCGTGAATGACATTTGTAGCTTGAACGGAGCGATATAGAGGAGGATTATGATTTAACAAAAAATTACAAGAACGATTTCCTCCTGAGAAGTAAACTTACTCCTGCACTGCGTGCGGCACTATTTGACTGGCTAACAACGGTAGGATTAGGGAAATACTCTGTACTTCCAACTTGACAATCAAGGTCTGAGAGTTTTGACCTTTTTCGTTTTCCTTTACTAGATACAAGTGTATATGGCTTTCGATACAACCACCTTACACATCGCCGCCTTGCTTGTAGACCGCTACACCTGGACTCACATCGTAATTGGGAGACAGTACCTCCTGGTTACACTAGCAGCTTTCCTAGTGGCAGCCAATTTAACCTCCCAAACATTTAACGAGGCGGATCTAATTGATTTGCTACTTAAATTATCTAATAACACGTTTAAAAAGCTGGAAGTTCGTTTGTGCTTTCTAATTGTAGCATTACCGATTGATCTGCAACTCCATTTTTACATATTGCGATTACATTTTAGCTCTGTAATATGAATTTAGAATTGCGGCAGGACCTCGTTTCTGCCCTATTGCAAGCCACACCACACCATTTCCTTAAAAACTGCATGCTGGCAATGGATGACGTATTTACAGATGACGACAGGAGACGGGTAACTACTCTTGGCCTAGGTTCACTTTTCGTATCATCATCGCCATCATCGTTATCTTTCTCCTTCACATTTCAGTTCGTAGCCCTGTGTCTCTATTGCTTCGATCTAGGGCTACTTGACTGGGAACTTGCCAAATATCCCGCCAGCATGAAATGCGCCGCAGTAGTATACCTTGTCAGGAAGATTTTGCGGAATTATTGCACCTGCTTACATGGCGGCCTCCATGACACCAATAGTGGATGTGCGTACCACCGAATAACGCCATGGTCACCAGAACTGCTAAAAGCTATTCATCACGAAGACACGCCTGAATTACATGAAGTTGCTAACATCTACCTGGAGAAGTTGAATGAGGCCCAATTTCTAATCAATCTTGACACTCCCGAGTTTGTGCCAGATTGTGCTTCACCATTTGAGGTAATGCTTAAGAAAAAAACTTTTCCAGCACTAAGTAGAAATAAATCATGAAGTGCTTGTAATAGGTAATCGAATCATGAAGCGGCTAATTTTAAGTAAGTGCTGATGATGCTAACCTTGGCTAGGGCCGAGCTCCCTCATTTAGCGGGTAGTTCAATTCCAGCATTGGAGTTACATTCCAGGCAGAAAAAAAAGCTCCTTTTGCATATCTCGCCTCCTATAACACATGAAATAGGACCGCCTTTCTGAAAAAGGAGATGCGTCGGTCTAGAATGGGAGTTTTAGACTGATGGTGCAAGGGCAAATCCATCAGAACAAATAACTTGCTGGCAACAAGTCCTGAATTAGTAAAATAATTGGGGTGGAGAATGGATACAAAACGATTTACTATCTTTTTCGTCACTTTTTTTTCTCGTTTTAATCCCACAGGCTGCATTCCGTAAACACAGCGATCCGGCCTACTTGAGAATATCAGTAGAAAGAATTCGAACGATGCCTTTTATGAAAACTTAAATTTCTCATTAACGGCAGCAACAATAGAACTTGATGGGCGCAAAGAAATATGTTCATATGAAGAAAACTGTGAATTTACAATTTTACGTTCACATATTGTGAATACAACTCCCCAAGGGGGAGAGACATCTTCATTTATTAAAAAACGTTATTTAATATGCATTCTTTTGACCAAAGTTAAGCATTGAGGAGGTCAAAATCTTCACAAGCCAGATCAGGCATATAGTCTGGGCTCGCCTTCTTTGGATTTTACCCGGAAAACCAAGCGTTACTTGTGGGTTAGCCAGTCTGTTTCTAGGAGGGTAAGCGCAGTCACCAATGCTACTTTTGGCAAATGAGTAGTTTGTGGGCAAATAAAATTCGATTTAAGAGTGGATTGGTGAAGAACACAAGTCGTATAACAACTTACTTCAAAACTTTTCCTCCATTTACCGCAGAGCTGTAAACAAGCAACTCATTCTAATGAGTCGTAAAAGCAAGTTAAGAAGAGTTTACTTTAATCCATTTAAGATCTTTGGAATTCATAATTTATCCATTCTTCCTAGATTAGTAACTGCAACTGACCTCCTAATCGGTAATTGGTTAGAAGTAGAATTTAAGGGGTTATGCTCGTTGAAAATGGCATTTCCATTAGCAGTGTGCAGGAGGACTAAATGGCTATGGCCATGACATGGGGACCGCACCCTCGATACAGAGGCCGAAGTGTCGGCCTTTCCAGCGGTCACTCTTCTGCCTTCTTCGAAAATCACAGTCACCTATTATAACAAAATCATAGACTATGTGGCATCTTTTAACAGGCGAAGAATGCTACTTGTTTTTCATTTGTAAACTATGCTGGAAATCGGGTTGAGAGTCGTAGCTAGACAAACCTACGAAAGGCAATTACTGCACACTAATCACTTCTTATCATAACCTTTACCCGCAAGCGAAGTGAGGAAATGCAAGTTAGCATACCCTGAACGCGATGCGAATGGCTGAGCTTAGGCATACAATTACAGCCCTTGTTAAAGCTCCACTTCGATTCATTCTTTTCTGATCTCACTCTACTAGCAGTCACTGTGTAGAAATCGGCATTGAGAAGTTCATCCCGTGAATCGTGATCTCCCTCGGAATGAGAGATCTGACATGATGCGGGGGAATCGTCACGCAGGAGGAATGCTACTTATTTCCTCATTAGTAGACTGTGATGTCGGTAGGGTTGGGAGACTTGACCACCAAGTTCTCTGCTTGGAGAACCTTATCGCGAAGAGAAGCTGGGGGGTGTTCAGCACCAAGAATGTTATATGCCCTAATCTATCTTTTTTATAAGGTTTTCCTGCAAACCAAGCCGGAAGCCTGAGAAGTCGTATTCCCTGAATGCAATACAAGTATTTGAACTGAGTGCTAGAATTTAAACTTTTCTTTAAGGTTTACCTCATTTCATTAGTTTTTACTCCCGCCTTGCTAGCCATAATTGTGTAGAAATCAACATTGAGAGGTTCTTTTTGTGAATTGCAGTCGTTTGCAAAACGAGATCCCAAACAGTGTGATGGATTTATGAACACTCAAGGGACTCTACCTATTTATTTATCAGTAGACTGTGCGGCAGATCAAGCTCGGAGTGTTGACTATCAAATCATCTCTACAATAGACTTTATCGGGGATTATTCATTTGAGAATGAGTGAATATTCACAGATCTACTGACCTTCAGCAGATACCTTACCTCTGCCTGAATTTGGGACGATTCCTACTACCATCAATGCGGTACCTTGATACATCTCCAGTTTCGTGATATGCCAGTGTGGAAGCTTCCAAACGCTACCATTGGAAGGTTTCACAACCTCAGTGATGACTCTAGGCGCCGCAACTTTACCTGCGCGGGGAAACACTTGACCTGGACTGTTAATATTTACTGCATGCATTACCGGCCACTTGGAAACACGAAAGTCGTGTTGCCTAGGCCATGGTAATGACCTCAAACCGGATCAAGTGAACCGTGCTCCAAAAATCTGACCACTCACCTTTGGCGACCTTCGCGAACTCAATTCACACCCGGTCATGTGGATTGGGCGAAAGGAATTTGCTAACATTCCCTTTCCAAGTACGGATAAGGTGGCAGATTCACATCGACCTGTAGTCGTCAAAATGAATCAAAACTGTCAAATGGAAAGGTAAGTAAAGTTGAATAAGACAATACCGTTGAGCCCTTGTAGTCCAGCTTACCAGCAACGCGTCGGAGATGTTGAATCCTCTGAACGGGTGGCTCAAAGTTCGTATTACGACTTGCCTTATCAACAGTACTCCAATGGATTGAATTTGCTTTCATTATTCCTGTATTTTTTGTTTTTCAAGAGAACTATTGCGGTCTGTGCGTAAGACAATTGCAACCCAAACAGCCACAAGTGGAAGCAGGTATGTAATCCTGCCTCCTATTCTGGGAGTGCTTACTCAGCACGTCAACGTGATGGCTAGATTTCATTCTACCTTTTCAGAGCGAAAATACCCGCAAGATCCAGGAGCACGTGAGGCAAAACAATTGCCACCAAATCCATACATAGGTAGGGTTTGCTCAATGTTTTTACTGACGGGTATCCTTCACTTCGTGGCTTTGTTTGTGACTCGTTTTTTGTGCTATTTGAGTGAGCTAGAGGTAAATTGAAAGCCACCATTTGATGCTTCTGTTCCTCCTCCCCTTGCTTGAATGTTGGGGGGATATTAGCAAACTTCAGGCCGAAGGAACGCTGTGTTCAGTTTCCAACTGCCCACTTCTTTGCCTGCAATTGGGGCGCTTCTTCCACATAATGGGTAGGTCACCTTCAAGATTGGAACCGCCTGACGAAAGGTACTCTACACTGAAACTGCTGATCAATCATTTCTCCCATCACAAAGACTTAAGATCTTCTAGGATGGAAAAAAACATTTTTGGGGGACAGAAGTGTTGCGAAGCTAATGAATATGGATGGAATCTGCATGACATCACAATGGTGGCCAAAATCGCAAAGACTAACGAGACCACGCAATTAAGTAAACACCTTTCCATACCTGGCTTCCTTCATCCTGGGAGTGTCGCCTCTAGCACTTTTTTTTTGGTCAGAGTTCCACCTCGACCACTAAGATTGGTCACGAACCAGGAAGAGGTATTTGATCCTAGTATTTGTAAAGTATTCGGAATTCCTTCCACATTTTAAACCGCACTACGGAGGCTAACTAGCTTTGCGCTGTCCAGGACTGGACGACGCCTCTGCAAGTGCTTCCTCGATGTGGAAATCTTTGCCTGGAAGTCATTATTCATATAGCCAGTATGCTGTACGCATTCATACCGCTGTGTTTTCGTTCCAAGTTCCATTTGGCTACCAGGGCTGCGGAAGAGGTGGCAGTTCTCCATGGACTCCGGGCATTCCAGATTGTTGAATCTCATAAAATTGGCTTCATGTTGGTTCTAAAGTAGCCTTTTGCAGAGTACGGAAGTAAAGCATTTGTCAGATTTGGATGTGGCTACAATTACCTGTCTTTTGCGAGTCTCTGTAGATTCTGCCATCTACAACATTCAAGCTAGACGTCTAGTCTTCGAAGCCAAGATTTATCCTCGAGAATAAAAGCAGAACTAGGGGGACACTCTTCTCCACTTTAGCAATGGCGAATGCGCAATTACTAGCACGAGCAAAGCGGGGTATCCTAACAATGAAGGGGGTTGCAAGAAAGGACCTCCGAATTCTTCCCTCCACCTACGAGCTCATGCGTACCTTCAGAGGCCGGTGGAGAAGAAAGAGTCGTGATGCAGTTAATGACATTCAGATGCATCCCCTTGACGAATACGCCGAAATCGAATCAACCATGGAGATGCTTTTTTTCAGACGGGTAGGCCGGGCTTCGTTGACAAGTTGTCGTGTTACTCCCCCAGATTTTGCACTACGAGTTGATGCGAGATGACAGTCTTATCCTGGAGTACAATTCCAATTGTCTGAGCATGAGTGAACTCACTCCATCCATGCGAGCCACGCTCTTCAATTGGCTGATAAGAGTAAGGCAAGGAAAAGTGAGTCTAGCACAGCACCAATGCCTGATTCACGGACCGCTCTCTCATTTTCTTCCGACCAGGTACAGGAGTACTATAAATTTCCCTCAGAGGCCTTGCACGTCGCCACAACTCTGGTGGATCGTTTTACCTGGCGCAGAATGACACGTCCGGAAAAATACCAGTTGGTGGGCGTTGCAGCTGTTGTCTTGGGGGTGAAACTTACGACTCGTAAACCGAGTCCATCTCTCGAGGATTTGTGCTATCTCACCGAGAATACGTATTCCACGGAAGAGGTTTGTCTGCCTGGTCTTCACACCTCCATAGCCTCAGGGTAACTTCTTGATTACCAGCGTAAGAGTTAGTGTCAACATACAGAAGGAGCTAAGGGATGTAGAGCCATGCCGCCCAGTCGAGGTACAACCTGTGGAGTTGGAAACTGAATTAAAGAACATATCAAATTAACACTTGGCCAGTGATGTCGAAGTTAGGAGCTGTAACTAGGAGGGGCATTAATCTTTTCATCCCTCTTTCCAAAGGGTATTCTTTTTCCCAACTTCAGGTGCAATACAAGGAGGAGAAAATGCTCAAGACCTTCGGTTACAACCTCATCTATCCCATTCCACACACCTTTATCGGATTCAGCTTGATTGGATTTGAGGACTTACCCGAAGACGTGGATGCGCGTGTGGTATGCCAGGCTCCTTCTCTTCTTTTCCCAGGGTTGAAGTAACACTTCGAGTGGTACCTTCCTGACCTTAGATTATCCTCCTGTGCCGCTACATATTTGATCAGGGACTGACGGAGTTGTCTCTGGCGCAGTACGCTGCCAGCTTGAAGTGCGCCGCGACTATGTACCTCATTCGCCACCTTCTTCGACTCATCTGCCAGTGTCCTCTCGGGGATCTTACCAACTGTCCATTTCACAGCATATCTCGGTGGACAGACAAAATGGCCGGTGTCACGGGTCACAGAGAGACAACAGCCTTAAAGAGGGTCGCCTTCACCTACGGCTTGATGCTTATTGAAGCCCAATTCTTCCTCAATGAGACGACACCGGGATTAATGACGGGATGTGGATCATCGCTCAGGGTAAGGGAAACTTCAAGACGTCTTGAATGACCTATTTCCTGTCTTGTTTAGGCCGCTTTCAAGAAGTACAGTAGGGACAACAGTCTGCGCATAGCGAGGCATCCACTCGTGAAAAATTTTACCATTGCTGATATCCTCCACCTGGACACGACTTGACACTTGCAACACCTTGAAACAGATCCTGTTTGTTTGTCACTTTAAGAAATAAAAATCTAATTATACTTGATCTGCTGTGCGACGCGATGGCAGAAAACACCCCAAGCGCCCATCAAAGAGCGGGCGTAGCTTATCACCATGGAACAAGAGGATAACGACTTTCTTTTGGGATGTGTAGGTGGGTAACAGAACTGGACCCTAGAACATGTTAAGTTCGGGAGTAGATGACAATGAATGTGCCTTGATCACCGCAGTAGATCGACTACATACCTCAAAAACGAGTTTATTTCATCGTAGAATCAACACAACACAGACTGGTAGATGGGAGAGAAATGCAAAATAAATAGATCGCGCCCTTCCGGCAGACGGCTTAAATTTAAGAAAATAGCCCGCGGCCTTGGAGACTTAAGATCGAAAGTAAGTCTGAACTAAGGGAAGCCGCAGAGAACGTGCATACATCCACTGACAGTTGGCAGAAAAAGAACGGAGGGAAAAAGCATACACGCGGGGTCTAGACGATATATTTTCTAGTTACAAATGGGCAAAAAATGACGAATAACATAATTACCGAAGAATGGAGGCTCCATCTAAGTTTCTTCATCCAAATCCACACTGAATCCACCTCCTCTAGCAACCTGTATGGCCTCTGGTAATGGCACAGGATCCGTCTGAGCGCCTGCGTTCTTCTCTTCCACCAACTCCTCGTCCGACTGCTGAATTGTTGTCCATCCACCAAGATCACTAAAAAACAGGCCCAAAAGGAAGTCACCGGTGCCTATACTATCGCAATAGAGAATGTGGTAGAGAAGTAGTACTTCTGCGCATCCTTTTCCGGCACCTCGGCGTCTGCGCGTGGTGATACCAGTGGTGGAGTGGGCGCATTTTCGTCGAATTTTTCCACCCCGGCCACCTGATCCTCCCTCAGACGCGCCATTTGGGCGTAGGTTTTTTGCAACTGTGTTTCACGGCTTCTCTGACGTTCAACGTCGACTTTGAGCATCTGGAATAAGCGGATGTGACATGGTTAAACAGAGGGAATATGGATCGTCTAGATGCGGAAAAGCAAGAGACACACCTCAGTGCGTCTCACAATGGCACCAATTTCTTGTTGACGCAGATGCTCCAAGGAGGTCAGCTCAATCTGACTTTGCTCGATCTGTTCCACAGACTCTTGAATGGCTTTGATGAGGGTTTGAGCACGTGACTGTGAAATCGCGGAAAGAGAAAATTAAAGTGGAAATGGGAGACAGACTGCCACCTGCTGCATAATAACTAGCCAGCCAGCTAAGTAGCGAAATGGGCAGAAAAAAAACAAACCACTTACTTGGTAGCCCCCGAGAAGAATAGACAATCTCTTCTCCTGCCTGGCAGCTTTTTTGGCTTCTTCAGCCATAAGACCGCGTAGCATCTCAAGGCGACGCTCAGCCGCACTAACGCGCTCCGCCTTGGGCACGAGATTGGCGCGAGTGAAACGGTGGTGTTGGGGAAGGTGAAGCACTTGAGCCAGACACTCCTCCCACACCCGCGCATACGCCTCACCCGACACCTCCCCATGGCCCATCGCACCGCGCACCACTGCCGTCTCCGCCTCAATTGCTGCCGCGGCCTGCGAGAAGGGAGTGAGTAGACACAAGGGCTCTACGGTGATTAAATACACCGCGTAATGCAATTCCAACCTGCAAATAGCTTCATTATCTACCCAGTCCATTACTACGCAATATTTTGCATCGACCAAACAGATTGAAAGGCGGTGGAATCACTTCCAAAAAGCCCAAAAGTTGGCTGGGCGTTCTTAGTTCTCAACGGATAATGTAGACTATTTGTAAACGATATGGATTTAAGAATTAGTTCTTATAGAAAAAAGAAGTAACAGGAATAAGGAAGTCAACAAGAACGTCCAGACGGCGGTCTTCCCCATTCGTCCCAAATTCTACTTTCTACACACTCATCAATTCAAGTGGGATCACCTCCTTCTAAATACATCACGACAAATATCCATTCAGAAATCATCTATTAACTTGAAACTCGCCTAGCGGTCCAGACATGTCAAATCCATCCTTCCAGGAATCCCCAATAAAGAACCGAATCGTCAGATAATCCGCAAAACCAATAATTCATCCACGCAACTTTGCTTTAAGACCGCTCTATGATAACCTGATCCGTCTAATCCATCAACCTACCCGCCCATTCGCAAATAATGCATCCAGCTACCACTCATTCATTTACTAATCCTCCACCAATTCAGACGTCCAACAGTTCTTAAAAGAATCCATCTATCAGAGAGAATAATGGAGAAGAGAAAGGCCTTATCTTCGCGTGGCTGTAGAATACAAAGCGGAATTGTTTCAAGACCACTCTATCATCAACTTCACCAACCACCCACCACAAATCCATCTATCCAGCTATGATTCACTCATCAGTACCAGATCGCCTCATTAATCCCTCTAATCAGGCAGCCACTTCATATCCACCTACCAATTTGGGTGTCTCTAAATCCATCTATTTGTAAATGCACTTTTCTATTAGACAATGTTTGTTTTGCTATTTATTCGTTAACAAAATCCCCAGCTAGTCTATCACCAAGGAAAAAATCTCCACAGCGGACGAAACCCAGGACCTCAAAGAGGGGGAGAATAGAAACACAAAATTCGTTCAACATCTATGACTGAACTGGGTTTATTGCTGGACGACGTCCACTTTCACATGCAAGCCTGTACACCGAAAACACTAATGCGATTCTCAACTTACGGTCTAGATTTAAAACCACCTTTTGGATCCTCTAGACTTTAAGGGAAGGAAAGCATCGGTGGAGAATCATGTGGAAGCATCAGTGTTTCAACGACTCCTACTTGTAAAACTGCGGACAAAAAGTGGACCTGCAGATTCTTCAACAATCAACAATTTGAGCCACGTCTTCCAGACTCATGAAATGGAAAAAAAGTGACTCGCCTGAGCTAGCGACTCGTCAGAGAATTCCTCGTACTCCGAGTCGCGGAGAAAGGCCTCGTGAGTAGTGTTGACCTGTTGCAAACGCTTTTTTTGTGCCACGGCGCTGAGCAACTTCCCGTCGGTGTTGCGAGAAAGGTCGGCGAGGAGGGTGAAGGGAGGATTGTGTAGACTATCATAGTGCAGCATCGTTAGCATCTCCTTTTTGATCAATTCCTCAGCCTAAGGATTTCATAAAATGGGTATTGAGAGTGTTGTTGCTACACATTTCACTGGTATTAACGCAGCCATAACATAATTATTTGGCCGTTTCCATTAGTTACGACTTGGTACAATTGAGAAAAGTGTATAAGCGCGCACCAAATTAAACATTTGTAAAATGAGTTCATTACTTATTTAAAACCACTTAGAAATGTAAGACATAATTTTAAACTACCCAATATCGTGACAATTCAGCTAGAAAAGTCACAAAAGCACAAACCATTCTTTCGATTCAAGTGCAGTAAAAACCATTTCTTGTAGAAACTAGCGGATTTATCGAAATCGAGAGCGATGACTAACGGTCATTGTATGTGTGGATTTTTGTTTCCGAAACTGGGTTTATCTGAGTTCCGACAAACAGGTAGAATTTATAATGCATTTACAAGAAAATCCCTACACTGATGTCCGCATTAAGCCAGATAGGATTACGATCGCATTTCGCAGCCTGAATTTTAAGAATAACAGAACACCAAAGGCGTGGAGATTATAGCACTTACTGATTCAAAGAAATCTTCAAAAATCCGAACGAATCGTCAGTTAAGGCAGCTTGGATTTCCGAAACCCACTTGTCGCTAACAAAGTAGGATTTTTCCAAAATCACAAACTCAAATTTCAAGATTAGCCAATCTCAAGAAACGGTAAATCAAGCACCAATGACAGGAGCTAGGCCTAAAGGTTGACAGTGGGAAAGATGAAGAGGTGAAATCACCTTCTGTTGGTCCGTGAGAGAAATCTCCTCCGCTGGTGTGGAAGGAGGTGGTCTGAGCACCGCATTATTGACAAATGTAGGGCGCGGGAGTCCACGTTGCAACGCCCGACTACGCTTCGCCCACGCGGCGTCAGCAGCCGCTTTGCGCGCCTCTGCCGCCTCTCGATCCACTTCCGCCTGATCCGCCACGTGGGCAGACGTACCCTCTGTAGCGGAATCGCTAGCCTCCGCTTGCTCTGCTGCGTCCAGCTCCGCCTCATCGGGCATGCTAATTTCGAAGTTGTTTTTCGGCTGAGGCAGGCGTGCAAGCTTCTTTTGCAGACTGGTAGTGGTCATAGTCTGTGGACCCTGAAAAACGTTTAGTTTTGCGAGCATAAAAGGGAACGCTAATGTGGCAGGAGCACACAAATGCCCTCGAAAGTTTAAGACAAATGCAATCACCAACGCACTTCCATGCCGCCCGCTTCATTGATGTTAAGATAGTCTCGGCGCGGCGTCTGATTCGTCACATCATTCGCCCCCCCTGGCGTCGCTAAAAAAATTAATAAACATTGGAAGTACCAGAAAAACGATATAGAATTAGAACCAAGAGAAAGAGGAACAAAATGGTCCTATAACCAATAGATTTCGTAAATAGCGAACACCTTAGGAGAAAACAGGTAATGATGCGAAGTGCGATATGCTAACAAAACCGAAAAGGGGAAGACACTCGAGAGGTACCGTGGGCCATGAGAGGAAAGCGATTATAAAGAGGGTGAGAAGGAGAGAAGGGAAGGACCGAGAACTGACCTCCAACTTGAGGTGTCCGAAATGGCGTATTAGCTGCAAGCTGGTTGGGCAACAGGATGTTCGGGGTAGGCAGATGGCGAGTTTGTGGCGTAGCCCCAACAATGTTTACCACGCCAGTGGAGAGTTCTGTATTGTCACCACCCTTTAGCGGTGTCTGCACTTGTTGCAGAGCCAAAATATTCTGCGCTTCCTGCGGAAGGAGAAAAAGGGACAGTGGTATTTCAGTGCGCTGCTCAAAAGTACTAGGTTCGCCCTTGAAGCGTAGGCTCTAATTGAGTTCATGCGAATGAAGGAAATCCCGATTCCCTGACCATGTGAACGTACACGGTAATTTACTCAATCTGGTTTTAAAAGTACGAGTAGGGTGGGTAATGTCATATTCCAACTGGAAGCGACCAAGTTGAAGAAGCCCCCAAAAAGTAGTTCAAAGGGTTTGAGATAGACTGTCCCGTTGCAACTCATGAGACGCAGTCGTTGGATTCAATTATTTTCCAGAAGTAACGGAAAATAGTTGTATGACTATTAATCCCACCTCGGGAAAGCACCATATTACGGCCAAAGCAGAACAACTAAAAACAAACCTCAAAAGGAGAGAGAATGGATGGCATGTATCCAAAATGATATCCCCCTCCATGTTGATAAATAATATACTTAAAGCTTGATATGACTCGGAGCTTCTTCAGTGACGACACTAAAGCCAAAAGTAACTTTTGGAGTCGTGATACTCTGATGACGATAAAAGTTAGCACGGCTCTTGGTGTAGCCCAATGAAAAGGACAAAAAAGATCGCACGACCTTACTTGGTAACCTTAAAGGTCTACGTTACTGAAAATGCCACGATAATCAGTTGCAATTGTATTTCAAGGCTTGAATTAGATGTATTTAGTGAAAAGGAGAAAAAATCGCCTTCCAGCTTGACACTAAAAGAATAAGTTAGATGAAAAATTTGAAAGGCACCTGGGCACCTGAATTATAACAGTGAGTAGTCAGCTAAACTCACCATTTCAAACAGAAACCATGACGAAATTTAAATGCACCTTCCAAAAACAAGCATAGAGATGCATCACTTATCCTTGACACGCAAGTTTTTCAAACGCTCTACCCAAAGGTTACATAAATAACAGAAAAGCATTTCAATTCCCGAGCGCGATCACTAAGAAAAACTGTGATCGTACCTATACACACTGTAAAAATCAAATTTGGTGGCACCCAAGCGATAATTGATGGCAGACAATGAGAGAATCTCCGGTAAGGATGGCAGTCGATTGAAATCTCTGCACCTTTAAAACCAAGTCCTTTCATCCAAAAGCCAAATCTTGTCCGATCACAAGCTCAAGCGCCTCCGCAAAGGTTTGTGATTCGTGGGGTCACATCAAAATGCTTCACTTCAGAAAAACAACCTGATTCAAACTGAATTAAGGCGTGTTACAATCAACACAAGGAAACCAAAAATAATAGCAATCGAATAATGACAGTGCGAGCTCAAACAGCGAACATTGCACCAACACAAAATACTCATCTTTCACAATCATTGTTAAATGACAGTTAAAATAGCAGATAAAGCAGGAATTTGTAGAAACCATATTTAATGAAAATGAGTGAAAGAACTCCTGCTCGACTAAACTGCAACCACGAAACTACATTCTAAGGAATGAATGTACAAGAAGCAACACAAATGGTAAATCCGAAACACAGTTTTGGTTCCCATGAAACAATGCAACTAGGCTCCCACCTGAATGATAGTGTCAGTCCCAATTTGAGGCGTCTTAGCCAGCAGATGAAGCGGTGTTGCAAAGGTTGAATCATTGCCACCGCCCTTGTGATACTCCGAGAGAAGCGTCTGTGTTGCCACTGCATCAGAACGCGAGTCCTCCAGGGCCATTCTCATCGCGTTCTCACCCGCCTGTCCTACCTTGACCAAGTTTTCCAACTCCAAGTCAGATATTTGTGGCGCGGGAAGCACCAATTTGGAGCGCTTAACTACAGGTTCACCATTATCCTTCTCACGGGCCAGCAGGGCACCAGGTAAATCCGACTCCAATCGCTTAGCTTGACGTTCAGCATCCTTCTTTCGCTCACGCTACGTTCATAAAATAAATCTCGTTTAGCAAAAAGTGTAAGTACCGCGAGCGGTGGAAAGAAGAAGTCTAAGCAATCACCTTTTCCCGTTCCATAAACGGCTCCTTTTCAATATCCCCCAGGCGTAGTCGATCAAAATTTATGGGCTTTGATTCAGGAAACTCACGACTCGTGTCATGGAAACCCTTGGGTGGTTGTTTTTCGAATGGAATTTCACGGTTATAGTCAATAAATACATTCTTATTAACCAGAGGTGCAATAGTAGAAGCCAAACCAGCAGCCCGCAGCTCCCTACGCTTTTGCATCATTGCCATACGACGAGCAATTTCGAGTTGCCGTTCACGAGCCTTCCTTTTAGCCTTTTTACCCTGTGTGTTGGCCAGACGAGCCCTAGCTTCCGAGAGCATTTCCAGCTCGTCTTCATCCATATCCACGGGATCCGGCCGTGCGGGCTTAGTCTCGGGGGTCGGATCGATTTCTCCCGGTCTTAAACGGCGTGGGTCATCACGAGAACTCATATCAATGTTCTGTGCTTTGTCAAGCAAATATTCGTAGCGCTCAAGACATTGGTTCGCTGTGCGACCAACGATGGGGGCGATTGTTCGCCACTGAGTGGGCATTAATTTGGCCAAGTGGAGAAGTTTCTCATCCTCTTCCCGGCTCCATTCTGTCTTTTTGACACTTGGATCGAGCCACTCATACCAGCGGGCCTTGCACTGTTTATCAGATTTTCTGTGAAGAAGGGAAGCAATACGGGCCCACTGGTTTTTACCGTATTTCATGACAGCAGCCTTAAGGATTTCATCCTCCGTATTTCTCCAAACACCGCCTTTTATATTAATCCTCGGCATTTTTAAATCTCAGGAAAGAACAGTATTAAACAAGAAAGGAGACCGAGAAAGTCCAGAACGGTCCACCGAAATTTGGAGGAACGCCACGGAGAACTGTACAACTTGACTCGTTGAAACACATTGATACATTTAAATATCTATAAAAACACAGTTTTTTGGATCATTTGATGTTGTGATATTTTACATTTAAAATTGTTGTTGAAGTGAAAGATGTAAACCGTTGTATGCATAAACGGGCAGTAATTTAGTTTTTTAAAAATTGTTTCATAGCCTAAATTTTCGCAAAATGCGCTCAGTAGTCAGGAATCCACAAAATCCTGCCCTCCTAACTACTGTATCTGCGCATTGTACTGAATGATATTGGCGGTTCTGGAACTATAAAAGCAGCTGCATTGCTTGCTTGTTGCTTTCCTTGATTCGTGCAAGCCTTATGCAGTAAAGGACAACAAAAATTTCTTTTGAAAAGCCAACACACGAGTTTATTTTCATTGGATAATGCACTTGTATGGTTACCTACTTATTTACTAATTTCATCGAAGTGTTTTGATTAAAAAAAATGCTATTTGTGTGCGTTCAACTGAAGCAGCGAGTGATTTTAAAGGGATTCACCTAGAAACAAAGCAGCAATTTTCATAGCTCGTCGCAACGTACGTTATAAGCTTTGAGTTATCTCTGGCATTTCTCCTGAAGTAATATTCTTAACTATGATTGGCTCCTGTACCGCGACTTTTCAAATCCTTTGACTTTCTGTTGTCATGTTCTCTTTTTGCTGTTTGTACTTTGTATGATACGACTTGAAATTGTGAACTTAGATCGCATACTTGTATATCTCATCTTTCGATGTGATTTGCGGTACATATATGAGAACCCGATTAGGTTACCTTTAACAAAACATGGCTTCCAAATTATTGAATATTTGACATTGTTGCCTTGTTAACTTCATTGCATTGGCTTTTGCCTCGTCGAATTTTGTTGCGCATTTATCTATTTGTAGGCTCTCCTACGTTTTCTTCGTCTCCTCAAGTCACTTAGGCCTTTTTGCAGATTTCATATTTTAGTAGCCTCTCCTGAAATTTTCTTCCCTACCTTCTGTGAAACGAAACCCATTCAAACATCCTTACCGCCACCATCTAAACTTCCTTCCATTCTTTCAATTGCTCAACTTCAACTTGATTCCACCAGTTCTCTTCTCTCTCAACTACTGCTTGATCTGGAACATCACGTTGCCAACCTGGTACACCTGGAGTCACACCAGCACCAGCTTCTCCAACTTTATTCGACACAGCCAAATAATCCAACTCTCGATGACGAACTGACAAGGCTTCGTAATGAGTGGAATGCATGCGTCGTCCGTTGTGTCGACCTGGAATACTGTATAGACATCGCCGTCGCCACTCTGAAGCACTCTCTTGATCTCGCTATCCTTCTTACTCCTCTCTTTTCCTCCTCTGAGGAGCTTTCTATGTGCGATCGCGGTGGTGCTACACTACTTCTTTTCGAAAAGACTTTTGAAAACCTAAAACATCAACGAGCTCGCCTAGTCGATGTCTGGAGTCACCATCTCTCCGAGCATATTCATTCTCTGTCTACTGAATAAAGGAAATTCTACTCCCTTCTCTTTTTGTTAGCCTCTCTCAATGACAGGCTGATTGCTTCCTCTTTTTTAATTCTCTAGGAATGGAGGAACTCGAGGCAACTGTGGATGAGCTGCTTCGATTGCGCGATACTTGGATCCTTAAAAACACTCGACTATCTTTTGAAAATCTTACTGAAGATCCTGAGAAAGTCTTTTCCCTGGAAAGCGACTTAATCTCCCTTATCCGCGAAGTTGTGCAGATATCAGAAGAAAAAGCCGAGAAGATGGCCACTCGGGTCTCCCACGTCCTCGATCTCGTCGCTAAAGTCCTACACAGCCACGATCTTTCAACTGCTCAAAAGGCTCGAACGCTTCTCTTAAAGGGGAAAGCTCTCACTTTGACAGTTCCATTCGCTCAGGACACAGAAGAGGTGAAGTCTACACTTAGAAAAGCCATTAAACTGGATTCTAATCTTTCTGATGCCTGGTGTGAACTAGGTGAGTACGAATGGATGACCAGTGGACCAGAAAGTGCTCTCCCACTACTTCAAACAGCTTTCAAACTAGACGTAGGCTCATTTCATGATTACCACTAGTTGTAGAAACATAATTCAGAGGTCCTCTGGCGCCTTTCCATGCTACTGCGTCAGCTACCGAAGGAAACCATTGTACGTCAAAACTTCCTGACGTCCGCAGAATTCTCGAACTTCGTGGAAGGTTGTGATGATGGTGGAGTCGCGGTGTCGCTGCGCTTCGCTCACGCTGCTGTACGGGAGCGGCCGGACTCTGGTCAGGCCTGGGAGTGCCTTGGCAACGCTTTATTTACGGCATCCTTGGTAGATGCGGAGGGTGGAGGATTTCTCAGTCGATCTCTGGTGGCGTTCGCACAGGCGGCAAAGTACCCCGAGGTTGTCGGGCAACCTCACTTCCACTTTAATCGAGCTGCGGCAATGCACTATGCGGTGAGTGAAGATGTTTTCTCGCTCTCTTCAAACAGTGCCAACTATTCGAGCATGTCAAAGCCGTCGAATGATTGTCCGACTTTTCCGATCCATGCCGAATTTGCAGTTCTATATTATTGTCGATACTACTTAAAATTCCTGTTTTGTAGATTGAGAGGGTCGATTCGGTTGTGCAATTTTAACACTGTCAAAAATTGAATTGCATGCTTCAATGATCACTTTATCTGAGACAAAGGTAATGGACGATCAAGATAAGATGAGAGCAGCTGCAGTGGACAAAGGCGGTGTAGATCAACCTCAAACATTAGGAATATCTACCATGAGCGCTTGTTTTGGGGTTGAAATGATGCGACACCGACCGCTGGGGTATATTGAAACCATCGAAAGGGATTTCCGTTCAGTCGTTGGATGTGGCTTGTTCCATCTCGTTGTGTAATGCTGAATTTCAGAGTCACTATTTATATCAGTTTTACTAGGTGACTGAAATAGTTCGTGCAGCTTTTGGCTTATCTTACTTCAGCAAAATAATGTATTTTGTAATTCCAACCATTCATATGCGTTAAGAAGAATAGATGTGTGCCAATTTGTCTGCTTAATATCCCTGGTTAACTCTACCACTTTTCCGCAATTTCTAACTCACATCAACAGGCTGTTGTTTTTGTCTTATTCGAGATGTGATTTCAGTTTACGTGGTCTACGACGTGAGTTCAACCCGTTTCAAGCCTCAATAAGGCTCTCGCAAAATTGGTGAATTTGTGGTAGCAGGATTTGATGACAATTGTCAAATTACTAATATTATTGCTTATTCCCCGACGATCCACTCGCTACATATCATTCTGGAAGAAGATCGTGAAGCCACTCTTCATTGACAGAAGGAAGAGGTGTGGAGACTGAAGCACTAACCCCAAGCTACTGTGTGTCCTCATTCTTCTTTTGAGTGTCGTCCTCAGCGCACCCTTTATCACTCGTCTTCTGTGACCACCACAATGAACCCACTGCTTTAGGAATCACCCACAGACCTAGGATGGTAGTTACTGAACTGTTGTAGAAGCGGGAAGACATATGATCTCGTAGACTCCAGTTTACACAGTTTTGTTTTTTTTGCTAACTGCATTTGTAAGGCAAAGAGATTCACTGCCTCCTCACTGCTCAAGGCTGAATGACACCATGAGTAGTGAATATCATGCAACTGCTACTTGTAGAAACATTTGCCTCAAGACAGGATTGTTTAGCAAAAACCAACTTAAAAGAATTTTAGGAGCTACTATTTTTCATATGTTAATGCTTGCCACTTTTCAGTTCATTGCTTTCCAATTGTTTCCCAATTTCATTAGTCTTTTTGTAGACGTGGAGTGGATATCATTTGTTCTTTTAAATCTCATCCTCACGTAAATACCATATGTAACCCCGTAAGAGGCATTTTAAAATCATTCAAGCCTGACGTCACCTCGATTACTGGTCACTTGCCTATGGAGCTTAAGGTTGGAGTGATTTACTGAGAGCTCACCTTGTTTCAACTCTCCTAATATGCTTTTGTCAATTCAATCATCCGTTGTAGATGCTTTCATACTAGTAAATGAAGATCTGACAATCAGTTAAAGAATTTTGACTGTTTTTTTTCATGTGCATTGGAGTTACTCATCTTTCCCACTGATTCAGCATCTCGAATCTCCCTTGAGGGCGTAGTAAGCAAATATCAGCGTAGTAAAAGATTTACCTTTAACATTCGGAAGGGTTGGGAGTGGAGGTTCGTAGTATCGGGACTGAAGAGTTGGCCATTTGGGCATCAAATCGCCACTGTTCATTGCCGGATTCTAACCTAATTGGAGAGGCAGACCATCACAGTTGATAGTCATGTGCCACATGGTAGATGTTCCCTTACTGTCCATGCCCAAAAAAAATATTTTAATTGTGGAGGAATTTATTTTGTTAGTTTTCCTTTTCCAAAACTGACGAGGCATGGTAGTGTGCGTCAAGTTATTCGCTTTTTTTTCGGCTCAGCCATGGACGACTGCTTCTATTCGGAGCTGGAGCCGTCTGTGCCTTTTATTCGCCATATCCGGAATTTTTGATAAGATTTAAAAAAAGAAAAAGAATAGCCGTCCATTGGGATTGCAAGCTCCACAAAATAGTTCTGTTCTTGCTGAGCCATCAATTGACTGAATTTTAGTCGTGAAAGTGATTCGTAACTTGACGACAGCTTTCCGCAGACAGTCTTATGGTGACATTCTATTTGTAAATCCAAGCCCCTGCTTGTCATGAACACCACCTGCAATGTTGGTGTCAAAGGTGTTTTAATTGAGCTAATCGAATATCCATTCCAGAAACGACAAAGTGGTTTGTTCAAATCGATGAAGAAGATTGACGTATTTCCCTTCTAGGACAATTTCTCAGGGGCTCTAGCCCACTGGTTTAGAGCTGCTCTTCTGGATCCCGCCTGGCCTGCGCCACGTATCAATGCAATTCGCTGTCTTAACGCCCTTAGGAAGATGCATACAGCCGTCCACGCCACTGGAACCAATACCACAACTAAGACAACTCGAAAACGCGTTGCTTCTTTGATCTCCACTCTCTCGCCTTCCACCAATTCCATGAATCGTCTCCTGGGTCCCTACCACAGTCTTCGCTATCAGACTTTTGCAGAGCTGGCCGAGGGTTCCAACCCGGGTGTGGTATGTTGTGGTGGAATTGTGGCTTCCTTACCAGCTGACAGCGAGCTCACACTGAATTTACTGTTGGTGGATGCTAAGGGCGCCTTCTTGGTCTTACGGATATTCCAGATTGGAAAGGTGACCGCCCACTGTCTACTCTAGTTATTTACATTTGCATTTTATTCTCCATATTGAGATGCTGGAGCCTAGCTTTTACTGTAGGTTGGTTAGTAATTAAGTCAGGATTCAGCATCCAAGTTCCGAAAAGGTCTGAAATTTGGTGCTCTCATGACTGTGGGAATAAATAGGTGTTACTAATTTCATTAAGTAACGAGGTACTTGATGGAGCACTAGGCTTATTATTATGGTATAAATTACAAATCATGCGGTTTTTTCTATGCCTGCATTACGAGGCATCCGTGTGATGCGTCGGTCTATCGGCACGGCACACTTTATTGTACTTTCTACCATTTTATCTTCCTTCGAACCTTCAAACCATAAAATGTAGTTTAAGTCCAGTAGATATGGTTTAAGCTTACCTGCTTCGCAAACTGCATTGGATACGGTTCCAAGGCTGCCGAGGCTTCTCGTGAAATTTGGAGTTGGTGGATTTAAAGATGGGGTGTCATGGAAATATGTTAAGAACCTCGATTCTGGAGCCAAGTCACCAATCGGTGGTGCATCCTTGTAAGGAAGGAAAGCTCCTTTCTTCGGTTTATTGTTATGATGTACACTGAACCCGTGCATAATATGTTAGCCGATGTAATGTGCCCTGAAATCGTATATCCACCTCTCTTTGTATATATGCACATCCCATTTTACTCTTAGAGACAAAAACTTCAATTCGGATCCCTTAGGAACAACTAATGATGTGTTAATCTAACGCTGCAGTGGAAGGGCCACCCCTCATTAAATGTCTGCCGCTAAACAACCTCAAAGCGGTGCATGTTGCGGTATGGAAGAGATGGATGATGAAGGGATGTGCTTTTACAATAAGATGGAAAATCTATCAGGATATTATGCCCCGGCTGGTGATTTCAGTAGGGAGAATGGGTTATATTTTGGTGCTTACTCATTTGGCCATCCTTTCGACCTTTAGTTCGGCCCCCTAGAGAGTCAAATTCTTTGCCACGTTAGAAAGTAGCCATCTTTTTGGCCAGTTGATCAACCGTGCAGTATTCGTTATTCCCATGCATTTGTTATTCCATTCTTCACTGCGTCGGTAAGGCAGCCGGTCCAGTTGCATCGGTCCAACCTTTCCCCCCATTTCTTCATCCATTCAGATAGTTTTCCTCTTCTACTTTCAGCATTCATAAAATAATTTACCTACTCCTTAATTCGTTTGTTTCTTTCTCTACCTATGCGTCAAGTTACTCGCTTAGTTATCTCTCTACCCACTTATTCCTCTGTCAATCTTCAGCATATTCATTCATTCATCCATTGGCCCATCAGCCCACCCGATCATCCACCCTTCCAACCATATAACAGTTCATCTATCCTTCAGTATAGTCAGCAATTTAACTATCCATGCGTCCTTTAGTTCCTCGAACTTATAGTCATTTATTCTATATTTCTTGCAAATTTCATTCGCCTTTTTTGGCCGGCCAGCCACACTCCATTCCATCCGGGCACTGTTCACTCGTCCTTCTCCTTATTCACTTATCCTTCCGTTCAGCATGATATTCATTTCCTCACCATTCACCATCTGAACCTTTTGCTCATTTAACAACAGGAGAGGTCGGAGAATGTAGTATAATGAAGAGGCGCAGCCTTCAGCGCATCCAGTCGTTCATCCGTCGATCCATTCAACTATACATTCGTCTTTTAGTATGTCTAGCGGTTCTACCGTCTATCCGCATAGCCATTTTTTCTTCCATCCATTCATTCGATCATTCCTTCATCCGCTAAATCACGCAACTGTTTGTCCAGTCCTACATCCATTAGGCCAGCCATCCACTCAACTACCCATTTATTTATCCAATTGCGATTTGATTGATGGTTGTGCAGAATATTTTTTGTTTCTGATGTAGTGAAACATCCCTGCCGAATCAGAATGTGGATATCCTTCAGTTCTCACATCCATCAATCCATTTAGCTATCTAATATTCCGTCAAGTTCAACATCCATTCATCCACCGACACATTCGCTCATCCTTCCATCAGTTCGCCATCAGGCTATGGAATCAACCCATCAAATGGATCTTTTACTTGTCAATCTCACTTCACTCGTTAGGTTTAGGGATTGAGGCATAATACTGAGATGAATAACTGAGGAATTTGAATATGTAAGGTGATACACTCTTGAACGCATCTGTTCATTCCTTCGTCGGACCATTCTACCATCGGAATATCCCATCATCCATCTGTTCAAACAGACAATCATCCGTTCGTAGACGCTCTCAGGTTTTCAATTTCCGATCGAAGATCCGTCCAACTACCCATTAGATTTTCTGTCTGTAGATTTATTTCTTCCCTATTTGTTCAGTCGTTCACCATACCAACCACACGTTCGTCTATTTTCATATTCGCTTATGCTTCCATTCAAACAAGCTTCTTATCTATTCTGAACCGATTTGATCTTCTTCTCATCGAGCAACAACTTCTTTAGTCAATCCAAGGGCATGCTGATCGTATTGGTAGAGCTAAGTAACTACGACTTTCACTGACACCTCCCTATAGCTTCCAATCCCTAAGCCATATGAGCATCTATCCACCCATTCACAGCCGTCCACTCGTTCCATATTTCATCCGCGTTTCAGTCTTCTCGATCGGGACTAAGATGACTCAACACTACCATATAAGCTGAGTGTTTTGAGTATTTCAATTGCCTTGACGACTGATTTAATAGACAAAGAAAAGCATTCCTATCTTCTTCGTTAGTTAAGAGTTCTTTGGTACTTTAAGGGCTCAGGTCCCTCTACAAAAGACGTGATAGCAATCCCCGACCCCATCGTCGAACACTGTACGGTCTCCACAGGTCTTATTCACCTTCTTCATGCCTTCGACGCATGTGTTCGTGCTGAAGGCGCTGAATCAGCCGAGGAGGAGGATGATGAATTTGGAGGGAGAGACACCAAGATCAAAGAACTTGATCAATTGGAGTCTCTGGATTTCCTCATTCTGCGAGTCTCCTCGCCTCAGATCCTCTGTGTTAACGGCAGTCGTGTTGGACGTGCATGGACCGCGGCGGCTGTTCCCAAAAATGTCTTTTTTGCCTCCACGTAGCATCTGTCAATTTGATTTTAATTTTTCATTTCTTGTTGCTTTAATAACCTTCTCCGTGTTTCATTATCCTATTGTTGACTGGTAATTTGAATGGATTATAGATAGAAGGGCCGCTCAAGCCAAACTGCAACTTTTATGACTACAAAAGAAAACATGAAGTAGGAGCCGCATTTACTTTTGGACATTGTCTTCTCATCCGTTTGTCACAGCTTTCAAATAAATTGACCGAATTGGCCTAGAACTTGCTTGCTTTATTTTCGTCATCGGTGGTGAACCCACGTACTTCCATTGCCAAAAGATCCTTTTGTGTTCCAAAGTGGGATAATGTGCCGGTCTTTGTCTCATGATGATGCAACCGGCATTGCTACTTGGTGCATCCGAGTGGTCACCACTTCTGCGTATCTATATCTTTCTTCAAAGGCCGTGATCTCAAGGTGAGTACTAGGACTTGTAGGGTGTCCTCATGTCATATTGATAACAATGCAGTTGGATGAGTGCTCGAATGTGAGGCACAAGGGAACGGATTCATCTTTTAACTCGGCGCACCCTCACTTTGTGTGCGTGCATACGTTTGATCCAATTCGGACCGTTTTACCCCTTTATTTAGGTCCATGCAGTCACGACCCGATTTTTATCCACCCGCTACAAGACAACTCGAAGATTTGTCAAGAGTAGCGCAACATAAACACCTGATATCGCAATAAGTAGAGGAGGAGTCCTCTTCCTAACAGGGTGAAGGTCTATGCCGCAAAGCAACCGTAGGATGGCTTGGGAGGGAGGCACTGCGTCACCTCATGCAATTTGCCCGGTTTCCTCGCATTCATCTTCTCCTAGACGATGGTTATCGCCTCTTCCGGATATTGGAGATGATCATGTGATTGAATAGACAGTTGGGAACTGTAATGCGACATAGAACGGAGGTAACTTGATAGTTTTCAATTTTCAGCGACAAAACATCTTTTAAAAGTAGAATTCTCAGCCATGTTTGCTCGTATTGGAAAAGAACTGTAGGCTGAAAAAGTTGTTTACAAAGAGGAAGAATTTCGTGTTTTAAACGTTTTTTGGTGCTTTTCGCCATCAAGAATGTCACATATGCATTTGGTTAACTTATAGTAGGCAAAGCAGTCATGACTCCCCTTTACAAGCCATTGTCTTATTTGTCCTGCAATACTTTTGGCATTTTGTTTCCACGCAAGTGTATCAACATTACTCAAAAGTATGGGAATCTTGGGAATATTGAAATAAACGTAAACTAGTCCATGGAACTGAAAACATCCTGAGAAAACAAAATTTGGGGTCATCCTCTGCCCATCGTAAATGCTACATGCCACAAAACTAACCGGTGGGAAGGTTTGTACTCTAGCCTAGATGGATGTACATGATAACATTCGCCTCGTGTGAACTTTGTGAGATTTTAACCACATATTTAAGTGCTTTGAAAAAAAGAAGTGAAGTCAGAAAGGCAAACGGAGACAGTACGGAACAGTAGCTTGCATCTCTATTTAACCGACTAGACTCGTCGTTAACCCTCTAACTAGCTTCTGCTTCACCTTACACAAGTCAGGCTCACCCAATTACAAGAGCAAATTTTTCTGTTTATCACAAAGAAATGTCAGTTTTTTGGGGGCATGAAGTCATGGTTTGGGTAGAGGGCCTCCGCGCGCCGCATATCAAAACTCAGTCCAACTCATCCACTTCGGGTGCCTTCTGCTCTTTTTACCATGTAATTGGACTGTCTTCAGAAGAAACCACGTCCTATATCACTTTTATCTCGAACTTGTCTGCCAATCGCACCGTTGTAAACCAATTAGTCGGTCACTATACTGCTTATTTATTTGATAGTGTACACATTCAAGCAACTCTCCATCGATGCGTTTATTTTGACCTTCCCCGATGGCGTCAAAGTGAGTACCTTTGTCTAGCCATGTGTTGAATAGGCAGTATTTCCTACTTGCGCAGAGACCTGTATTTAAAATAGTCTTTCATTCCATTCGTTTCACTTCAAACTACTTCCAAGGATTTAAATCAGTCAAGAAGAAGAACAGTCTGTCTGCTCTCAGTAAAGTCCATTACTTACCACCGGAGTGAAGGCAGACTTCTTTTATGCGGAAGTAGCTGCTTTCTCCTGTGAGTAGTTTTTCTGCAAAAATGGAGCTTCTACGGGGCGAGGAAATGGAGGTGAAATGATCTCTTGCAGTAGTCTTTTTCCCTTTTAAAATGTAGGCACCATTTTCAGTCCTTTCACAAATAAATCAACTGGGCCTTCATGCCAGTACACACTAACTTCCAAAATTAAGCGCGTAGCGAATGATTAGAGTTGGCGTGGAAAAGTTAGAAGTACAAAATGTAAATGTGTGGTTTTTTAGGTTCTATTTATTTCATTTTGTCCACATCCGTTCTTCATTCACTTATCGGGCCGGCCACTGATATGGCTATTTACACATCCCAAATTCGGAAGCCTATTTACTACCGATATTTTCGTCTATCGTCACGCCTCTTGGTCCGTCCTGCCTCCATTCTTAAACTTTCCATTATTTCTTTGGTTCGTCGTGGATTCGCTTTATCCACTAGATTCTGTCTTGGCCTTTTCATCGTGGCCTAAATATTTCCTTCCTTCCTGCATGCGTCTGTGGCTACACCGCCTCATGATTCAGTTTATTCGACATCTATCCATCCATCTACCTACCAATCCGTCCCGTAAACACCCGGTTATCCCGTATCTATCTATCTCATATCCATTCCATATTCATGCATTCACCTATCCATCCCTCCACCCATCCATCTCCAGCCAATCTGTTTACACTCTATCCGTGTCTCAAGTAAGAAAATTTGTTATATCCAGCAAAGTTTGCTTTGAAAGTAGGTCATATGCCAAATTCGAGATCTGTGGTGAGGCTAGAATTGTGGCCGTTGATAAACTGCACAGTGGATATAGCTTTCAGCGATGCTTAACGTGGATGAGGAAGAAACCTGTCGACATCACTGGCAGCCCATTGATCGTGAAGGCTAAGCAAGGCGGTGCCTTATGCATTAGTATGGGACAGGCCAACGTGGGAGACTGTTAAGCTTCACTCTACACGCATTTCTCAGCACGAAAAGAGGTCCTTGAAGAGAGCGAGCTTAAACTCAAACGAGCCACACTTCACTCAAACAAGTGGACATTAGAAGCGGCGGATTAGATTCGTCATGCCTCAGAGTCTGCACTCTTACATCAAGAAGTACAGACTGTAATTAAGTAGTCGCAATCTAGAATTTGATCACTCAATACGACGATCCAAAAATATATACCTTTGAGGTCACCCACGTATCAGAGCCTCCTCGGTATTATATATAACATTGCTGGAAAATTATTCATTAATTAAGTAGCATATCTACATTTAAAGCCATGGTACATGCCTCGCTCTTGTGATTCTTGTAGAATACCGACGGAAATCCATTACTTTTCGAGGGATACGTTCTCATGCGCTATCAGGTGGAATGCTGACATCTTAGGACTTAACTTTTGATCGGCTTTCAATAAAATAGCCTCCCATACCGAATCTTCCGTGGAAATTTAATAAACAGCACTGCTATAAATAACTATCATTTATTGACATGTGCCGCAGATATAAAAGTATGTTTCATAAACTTGAGTAAGAGCCCTTGGAGGTTAGGACCCTATAAGTAAGTGGTCGGCTTGTCAACTTAGCCATCCACTTCTACTTACCAAAATTTGACGCTTTTACTCTCAGGATCCATAAGAACACGTAATTTCTAGTTTGAGCAGCTCAATCGTAGCATTCGAAGTTTTCTCCTAGTTCCTAATAAGCCAAAGTAGTATTAGAGAAAGTACTACTTAATAAGCTGCAGTAGAGCCGGGAGATCGCTAGTTTGACTTGAGAACCATATCGCAGAGCGAACGTAAAACCTGTAAAGTCTGAAGTGTCTGAGCAGCTAAACACACACTTGGATAAAATGTAAAATCACTCCACAGCACTAACAAACTTATGCAATCCGTAAAAAAGGATGGTCTATGTGCAAGTTATCCGAGGGTGAGAATTTTTGCTTATTTCCTTTAGAGAACGCTTTAAAGCGGCTTGAATGTTCCGCTCTCTGTTTTCTTACTTACGGCACACATAAGGGCAAAATATCACCTAAGTAAAACACACCTTCCTAAAGCACTTAGAGTATCAATAATAAACAAAACCTCTTTGGCATCGTGGGATTTCCATCCACCGTGTCTGCTTACGTCCCATTTGTGGCGAGACTTTCGCTACGCTAAGTTGCTATCACCTCGGCCACTTTTTAACTTTACAATGTACTTTGTTATAACTTTGTGGTATTTACCTGAAACTACGAAAGTAGGGAAGTGGGGCTGCACCATTAATGAGAGCATTTATTTCTCTGAGGAGTCAGCGGAGTAAGTAAATACAAACAAGACATAATAGAAAACACATAATTTAATTCTTACTCCTCAAGAGGAGGAGGAAGAGGTTGCAGATAATTAACATTTGACGTGGATGAACGAAAAACTGCAAAATAAAAATTACCATAATAAGAGCCAGTTCTTTCTCAAGAGGGCAAATACTACGTGGGAAAATCTGATCCTACCCTTTTCCACTTCTGTCTGGCGTTTATTTTCCAACACTTTATTCTACCTTTCATGCAGCTGTCTGACACTAATGCCAAAAAATGTGTTATTCACCCAGAAGAGTTTAAATAATTGAATGCGATGCAGGAGGAGATGAATGACAAAGTGGCAGCATCTTGCTTCATTAAAATGGGCCATTTTTCTCATTGACTTCTCGTCTCGGCAATTTCTGACGAAAAGAAGAAGCGTTTACCCACACCACTGAGTTGTGTCGTGGAAAAAACTTCAGTCCTAATGGCTGTGTATTCAAAACGTCGGATTCCATCTACAGCGCCTTGGGTCTACAGCAGACGGGGCCCTACAGGGACGTTGGCAGTGCGTTCCACTGCTGCCCCTTCTCCAACTGCCCTATGCTAAGAGGCACAAGGTGTTCATTTTCCCATGAATCCGACATTAGCTTGGAAAAGCAGAAATTATGCGTTAATATTGGGCCCAACTGACATGGAAAAAGGGTTTCAAGGCGTGGAAAAGTGGCGGGAGCACAATTAATTCCACTACTTCGCATCCAACTCAAACAAAACTTACAAGCTTTGAGTAAGCTTTACACCTTTCTGCAAACCGCAACGTCATTTCAAATAGGTACGCTGAAGACGTCGGAGCTGTTTTGGCAATTTTACTCTGGACCATTTCATACTTTTTTGTGATGAACATTTTTTCCAACTCAAATGACAATTTTTTGCTGGTTAGCAATGACTTTGAAGAGCTTTGCAATACAAAACCCTAAATTATAAGTCATGTATTCTTCCATTACAAGCTCCGTGATTTACATCTTAAAATTGGTAGGTTTGTGCCTCTACCACCATCACGGTATTTTCAAATTAAGGCACAACTCTCATTCTCTCACAGAGAAGTTGATAAACTTGCTTCCCTTTCCCTCTCCCAGTTTCCAAAAGCGTATCAAGAAGGATGCAAATAATTTTAAATACAAATTTCAAATAAACACTTCGATCACATTTTATGATACAGTCCTCCTTGCACCCTTTCACTTCCCCGTCTGCTGTCTTCACGCCTTGACGAGATGCATGGACAATGGTGCGCAGCAGGCTTTACTAGGTATGGCTTTGATGAAACTCTGTTAAACGAGGAATAGTCACCTGTAGGTAAAAACCACTTCGTTATTGCTCTGCAATGAGGCTTTAAAGATTGGCACCTTGTCAGACCGCAGTAGGCAAATTGAAGGAGCAAACTCACGTCTAAGTGCCACCAAAAATATCCTTTTACAGTCAGATCTACCACAATATACGCATACAGGCATGTTAACTCGTGCTGGAAAGGGGAAGGAAACATGCCATATACACTTAATTAGATAAAAAAGGCCCTTATTTTCACAAAAGCTAGGGATTAAAAGATTGCATACCATATTGGAGTACTGCTAAGGCAGGAGGAGATCCCGGCGTAAAAGTGACTAGCAAAAATTCTGCCAAGAAAGATTTTGATGTCATAACTAGGTCAGTTGCAATTTTATTGTAAGGCGAGATCGACCCACCCATTTGCTGTGATTCCACAGTCCGAGTGAAAAAGGTTTCTCCTAAAGCAGACCCTTCATTCAAGCGAGTCGGTGACTCTAAAAAGACTGAATTTGTGGGCATTAAAAGCTAAGGAGCAACGATTTAATTCATCTGACAAGTTGATTGATAATTCAGATTTTTGGATGAATTTTCCAACCAAACCGAATTAATGAACAGTTTTTAAATCAAGAAGCCTTTATACGAAACTTGAAAAGCTGAGCTAACTTCCCATTGTGACAGGCATTCCTATGATTTTGGAGGCAAGAATAGAAACGGTAGGTGATTCTGCAGGGAATGCACGTGAATCGTCCCAATTCTAGTAAGGAAAGATTATTTTAGCAAAACTTCTACCTATAGCAATACATAATAACATTTAGAAATAAAAGATCGCGATTATTGTGCTGAAGTGCATCGAGAACACTCGAAATTGGAAAGTCAAATAAAAGGGGGCATTTGGAAACACGTGCCGGTGTGCGTCCCTTCATAATGAGTGCGAAGTTGACGATGGTACCTGAAGTGTCGAGAACAGACGAGACAAACCAGTGTCATGATGTGTTGCAGCAAAAGCAAAGGCGAGAAGTGTTGATTTGAGCTCGAAAATTTGGCTTCTTGTTCAAGTCGAAGCGCATTGATCCCTGACCGGCGTTCGTACTGCTGAAGAAGTGCAATCATGTGGGGCGATTTGGCTTCAAAGACGCCGTCTTGAGCGATGACTACTTACTCTGCAAGTCCGTCTGAAACACTTGAACATCTATTGCATGCAACGAAAGTGCTTACTGCCCATTTATTGTACCAATCCCAAAACTTCAGTCAATGGCATGCCGATTCTGATTGAGAAAATTGGACACGGGCACCTTTGTAAACAGTTTCTCCCTTATTTACACCTAGTGTGTGGGTAGCGAAAGCGTCGAAGGAATGACAAATGAAGGCCGCTCAAATGCTATTGAATAAGCATATGACAGAACAAAGGCTACAGCCACTATCAACACATTCTCGGACCATTCTGCATACCCTGTAAAATGCGTTGCTCTTAGATCGTTTGCAGAATGAAAGACCTGCACTAGGAAGTGACTTTCATATTCCAGCATCCGTCAGGCAAACTTTCATATCTTTCACGATGCCAAACAATGATCCACACATCGCTCACACTACCCCACACTTCTAGGCACCCAAGTGCGCCTATTGTAATAGGCCATGTCTGCCTGGGAATTGATGCACTTTAGGCAAAATTATTTAATGCGAATTTCTTGTTTGGCGTGATATAAAAGCAAGTGAAACCTATCTGCTCCACTCAACTGGCCAGTACACGAGGGAAGGGTTTCTGTTTTTAGAAGCACCCACAATCATTCAATTAGACAGAAGGGAGAAATCTCTTACAAACCAACGCCAATTTAAACTGCCCACTTCTTCGCAATCAGTATGCTTTAGCAGAAATAATTCCAATCGGCAAGAAAATCGTATTTTTGTAAGAAGAACATAAAAGTATAAAGTGCCATCTAAAAATAGGCTTAATATTTAATTTATAGTTGTAATACTTGCGCATTTGAATACACCTATTAGGCGAGGGACGTTCAGAGAATCCAGATCTGGTTACAGATCGGACCTCGTCTGCATAAGAGGTAAGGAAGTTTTCTCTGAACAGGCATAAACCTCACCACCACTTCCTGTCTATAATAATACCCTCTAAACTCATGTCTATTGGTACGGTGGAGGCGGAATTTGTGAGGTGTGAATGCGAGATGGCGGATATTGTCGTTGTCATCGCGTAGGGTAAAGCTGAGTCAGGTCTCTAGGGCTGCACACTCCGACGACCCGCTTAGTGACTTCACACATCAAGGTGACTCCTGTAGTAGGCGGCGCATACAAAGTGACTCACCTCTTTGCTTCATTTATGACATCTGAGGTCCATCAAACATCCCTGTAAAGGAATGCGATAACATTTTGTTCTTTGATGCAAAGGAAAAGCCAAAGTAAGCTCATCTTTTGCCTGACAGCAAATCAGATGGGGTTAATCATAAATTGTGTGTGTAAGCAATAAAACAAACGTGAGTGTTTAAATTTACTTGTCAGTTGGCCTTAACATCATGCTGTTGATGCTACCATCAAATTATCCCACTTTTGATTAGTGATTGAACTATGATATGGTAGAATGTAGGATGACATTAATCGTACTTCCATCGTAACTGCTGGCTTCTGTCCGTTAATCGTCCACCAAGGCAAAGCAGGCGTAAAAATGGGTTTCTTTTCGTGTTTCTTATGCGTAGACTCGGTGATTACTTACCCTGGGTAGAACTGATCTATTAGGTGATGCAAAGCAAGACATGCTATTTCACGAGTAAGGAATGGCTAGGATTCCCTAAAATACCTTTGTGAACAAACAAGAGAGGTCACTAAGTGAAAAAAATTGGGGTCTGTAATGAATCAAAAGGAATAGCACTCCATTTTATGTAAAAATTCACAGTTTTTAAAGCGATTTGAAAATTAGGCGAAATCATGACACCGGGATCTGGGGTGCCTCAGCAAAGCTGGTGTCCAATGCGTGTACATTTCGAAGGTGGCGAAAGTTTGCACGCTTGCCGCGAATGAGGGTAGCTAGGAATAAATTTTTTTTGTCAAATGGTTGGATGCAAATATTTGGTAGAAAGTTTGTCAAACTCATTGAGGAGCCTAATAGGTAGATGTAAAGCTACCAGTACCTAGACCCGACATTCTCGGATAATTGTAAGAATGACTTGACAATGCCAAACGATTGTCAGCTCTGGGCACTACATGCACCAAATCCAACTTCGCCAAGGATGTCATACAGACAATCGCCATGCCTGCAGTGCAATTTTACCTTCAAGCTGGATGAAATATATCATCAGACGGGTTAAATAATAAAGAGAAGGTTAGTTTATTTTACAATTCATTCACCTCCACCGTAAGAATAAAGATGCCAGACCAAAGTAATCTGTTCGATTTATGATTAAAGTGAAATGTATAACATTTAAAATAATAAATATGGTAAATTGACGTTATTTTAATTAATTTCTAGGTCAAATTTGGAAAACTCGTCTTAGTACTCAAAAATCACAATCAAGTGTCAATCCCTGCTACCTTTATGAGCAAAAAATAGTAAATATGCTCAGCCAGAAGGCAGTTCACAGCCAGGACAACAATTTAGCGTAATAAATGTGGATATTGTCCCCATCAAATCCACCCTTTTGAATAAAAAAAGGAATATTTGCCATAACTTTGGCAAAATGTCTCCTCCTTAAGTGGTCAGCTAATCACATGTTTAATGGAGCAAGGACTCCTTCTGCATTTTGATATGATCCAACCTTTTAATTTTACCTGCAACCAATGTTGCGTATCACTTATGTTCAGATAAATTTTAGTTGCCTGATAAGTCGAAATCCCGAATTTTAGGTTTGCTTAAACCCTTCAGGAGTAGTTCTTTTAGGGTAATTCAATTTGTCTAATCAAACAGTCACCGCAGTTAATCAGATCAGTGGATTCCGGTCTCCGTTTTGCTCTTCAAAAAAAAACTTTGCAAGCCTTCATCTACAAAACCGGCAATTTAATGTTTCGGATTTTATAAATTCCTCTCATTTTGAGGTAGTGAACTGGACTACTTTGTCGCTAGTTCTAGTTGAAAAGAGAGTAGAAATTATGCAAGTCTGCGGTAGTTTGGGAAATCAAGGCAGGCCCTACATAGCTCACTCTTTTAGAATTAAAGATGCCAAAAACAAAAATGAGTTCTTTGATTTCTTGAGTTGACAATTATTTTCTGTCGTTCACGAATGCCAACCAGCAGGACGTGCTGAATCGTCCGTCAAATTAATCGTGATGTGGAGAAGCATCTTCAACTTTCTTTTCGCTCTCTATCCATCCGTTAAGCATCTGCTTTATTTTCTCCCAGAAAATTCATTCACCCCTGGGGGAAGTTGCAATGCCTATCACGATCGCTGCAGACTAACTTGTCGCTCCGACTTACGACGAATGATGACCCAGTGTACCAAAGCAGATATAACAAGCCTTACGTCCTGTTAGTTCACTGCATTATATCATTTTCAAGCAATGTGAGAATAGGTTGCAGTTTTTTCTGTCTCGTGAGTGTGACCGCAGCTGGGAGAACATGAAGCGCTCTGCTCGCGTCACCTCGGTGTGTCCATTTACCATCGCCGGTGGGCAGTCCTAACATCCGATCCCATTTGCAGTACCCTGCGCCCAAAACCGACGGAGCCTCCTGAAGATGCTGGCATTGCAATCCACTGCTGCCCCTTCTCCAACTATCCCAAACCAAGCGTACGAGGTGCTCATTTCGACATGGATCGGATATTAGTATCGAAAAGCTGAAAAGCTTAACTAAAATCAGATTCAGTGGACATGGAAGGAAGGTTTTAAGGTTTAAATAAGGTACTGCTTTGCATCCATTCTCTACAGGGTATACAAACTTTCGAGTGGACTTTGCATCCTTCTGTAAACTGAAACAAGTAGTTTCAATCGGAAATACTGAAAACACTGAATGTGTTTAGGTAGCCTCGTGGCATTTTGGACCATTTCCTATATTTTCAAATGCATACTTGTCGTTATCTAAAGGTGCGTGCTTTATCTTTTTGGCAATAAAAGAAAATCCTAATTATATCTCAGGTAGTCTGCATTATCAGATCCGTGATTTACGGTTGCTCCCCAACCGTCAACATAGTGTGCTCAAAAATATGTAGATCGCATCACTTCACAGAGATGATAAACTGTGCTCCCCTTTTTCGGAATAGAGTAGGAAATATACTGTTCAAAAATTTCCTCAACACAAAATAACAACACCTTTTTAGCTTCAAAACATCAAAAATAACTCAAGTGTTTTAAGATAAAACCTTTCTTGGAATAAACACATTTGACCCCCCAAAACACCAACTTGTCGCAGCTTAATCATGCGCACTTCTATCCTACGGGCTGGCGCCTAAATGTCTTAAATCGACGGGTGGAGCATAGTAGATAGCAGGCTCCAATAGGGATGGCTGTGTTGAAGACACGTCCAACGGAAAATCATTACCTGCACAGGAAAATAAATCACCTCATTACCGGTCCATAAGGAGGGATCAAAGATTGACATCATGGTCGGCTGAGCAAAGGAGTTAGCTTACCTTCGATGAGTGCCGTTAAAAAAATCCTTGCACAGCCAGACCTGCCACGGTGTACGCATGTATACAAATCATATCGTACTGAAAGAGGAGAGGAAGCACGTCATTAGCACTTTAAGTAGAAATCTTTTATCAAAAAGGGGTGGAATTCAAGGTTGCGTACCAAATTTCAATAGTGTTGAGGGAGGAAAGAATGTCGGTATATAGGAGGCAAGCCAAAGTTCTGCCAGGAAAATATGTCAGGGTTTATTGGATTATATGCAATCTTATCGTAAGGCGAGATCAACCCACCCACGTCCTGTGACGTCGCGAACAGACAGAAGAACACTTCTCTCAATGTAGACCTTTCATCCAGGCTAATCGACAGCCCTGAAAGGAAAAATAGGTCACTATTTTTGCCAAGATTCAATTTCGTGGGTATCCAAAAGCGAAAAAGTGAGTGAAGCGTCTTTCCTACACGTCGATATATCACCTAGATTTTTGGTCGAAATTACCAACTAAACAGAGCTCTATTTATTATTTTTTAAGCCTGAAGGTCATTATGGAAAAATCAAAAGGAAGTGTCAAATTCCCATTGTGATAGGCATTTCTGTGTTCTCGGAGGCACCAAAGGAACTGGTAGCTGCTTCTGCATGGAATGCATATGAATCGTCCCAGTTCCAGCAAGGAAGAAGAGAAATACATTTGATATAGTGACACTTAAAGGTTAAATTAGTGAAGATTATAGTGTAAGACATTCAAAAGTACGTGCCTTCGTGAAGTGTTTCAAAATGAACCTGAAGTTGACGATGGTACCTGAAACGCTCGAAGCAGACGGGACAATCCAGTGCCATGGTAAGTCGCAGCAAAGAAGGAATAAGAAATAGTGAAATGAGTGAGAGAAATTGACTTTATGTTCGCGACGAAGAGTGTTGATCCCTGACTGGCGTTTACGCTGTTGTTGAGGTGCACTCGAACCAATAGATAGGGCTTCAAAAGCAACATCTTAACCGAGGATACAATGATATTTAGCACCATTAACCTACTCTGTTAGTCTATCTAAATTGCTTGAGCACCACATGCGTAATGCAAACAGCTTACCTCCCATTTATCACTTCACCTTTACCGAATCTTGATTTGGTAGTCTGTGCTGTCTTCATTCAAGAATGACAAGCATAAAAATCAACATTGGCTTTAACTAGCAGACCCTTTGAGGTGTTTGTTTTCCATTTCCTGCTCCTAATCTCTTGCAAATTTTTCTAGAATCTAGGTGCTTCTTTTCTTATCACAGTATCATCTACTCACAAGAATCATCTGCATCTGACAACCTCGTAAATCTCACTATTACTATGCATTTGAAGTCAAGGCTTTTAGACTTCATCGCCTGGAAAGTAAGACTTGAAAGAGTGCGTACTCAACCAAGGGGATGTGAGGCTAAAACTGCTGCCTTCTAGTCAAGGGGCAGAGTAATAATTTGCCACAATGCTTTCACCTGCTGCAATTTGCGCTTGTAGTACCCCCTATCAAGCAACTAAATAAGTTCACTAAATTTTTTAAGGAAAAGTGGCTAAGTAACTGCAAAATGTCCCGAAAAGGGGAGGAGTATATTTATTGGAGGAATCACCGCTGCAGGTCATAATCTCCAGTTCTTAGTCAGCACATCAAAAGCTGACTATTGGAAGGGATCCAGTGAAACGTAGCTTTCCATCCAACATGTAATCGTTCAACGCTCGAGTGATTACACCTGAAGAGTGTGGTAGTCGTCACTTGAGAAAGGAGATGTAATTCGAGGGCAAAACGAAGTGAGGCTTTATCACCCTCCGGCCTGTCCATCCCAATCAGAGCACAAACATTCCTGTGGAATAGTTTTTCAGTAGAGGGTTTTTCGCTTTGCTGTAGTGAAAGAGGAGGACTGACTCCCCTCAGATTAGTCACAACTGCCAACGAAAGGGCTGGTATGATGGCAATAGTAATGCCGTAAACGGAACGTCTTGACTCGAAAGTAGGATGATTGACTGTACACTCGCTACCTATGTCATTCCTTTACGCTTCTCAGTAGGTATAAAAGTGGCTACCTTACCAAAATTGTTGTTTTTAGAGATCAGCTTCCGAGCCAGGAACGAAAACTACGTACTTAACTTCTTCTGAAGCAATTGGACTTCTGGCTTCAGCGTCAGTTGCGCTTTTGCATAATAGCGTTGGATTTAGAGGACTGGCTCCTGCTAGGTCACATTGTAGGGTTGAGCTGGCTTCTTGATTCTAAGAACTGGCTGTTACTTTACAATGAGTGCCAACTGCAGTGAAATTAGCTTAAGGGGAGGCATTAATAACAGTTCGGAATTCAAAGCTTTCTGCATTCATCCTTACCCATCATCCAATTTCTTCCATTTCCTACCTATGGATCTGGGTGATTTTTGGCTACCGAAAACATGGGATAAGGTACGACAAGTAAAGATTTAGGTATTTACATATCATGATTACCGGTGATTTTATCACAGACTTCACGAAATCATTAGATGCCACTGCGATTTTTTCCGTTGGTGAGCAGACGGCAGGGCTGAAAATTGGAGTGATTTTTAAAAACTGACACAGCTGCAACAGCTCGTCTAACGTGAGCTTCTAAAAATTCAGTTATTTTTATTTGTTAAATGGCATGCACCATTCTGTGTGTGGGGTCGTGGCACTAGTATCATTTATGAGAAATCACAACGTGCATGAGTATAAAAGTATCCATTTTTGAAGCGTGCCTAAAGCGGATGGAACATTAACAAATGCAACATGGATGGTGCACCATGTCGCCAAGGGGAAAACTAAAAAGACCAAAACCGGGTAGCCCGCGTAGACGTAAATATTAACTAAAGAGATATTTTTGGTTACAAATGAACAGTACTGAACAACTAACTCAAATTCATCCATTTTCTATGTGATTTATCACTTCTTTCAGAGCGATGAGCTGTAGAAAGTGTATGAGGAATCAAAATCTTGATTGGATGTAGTGAAAGCCCACTTAACTAGTTGCACACTTAGTTTTTGTCATCCTTGTTGAATTCATCTTGCCTTATCCTGTCTAGACGTGGCCGAGCTGTCAATTACCCCGTTGGATCTCTCGAGACCCCATTTTAGGAGTAATTTCAATGAAAGTGAGTGATCCATTGCACTGATCGCTGGGTTGTACATTCAGTAGCCACCTCATCGTCAATCGAGAACAGCAGTTCTGAATAGCCTTGCAGCCCTCTACCACGTTTTGTTCCATCAAGGTGGAGGCCCATGCCAGGGCACTTTTAATGGACTCAGTAATTCATAGACTAACTTAGCAAAGTTGTAAACTGTAAATGGTGTAGATTCGACATTTCCTATTATACTTAAATTCGAACGAAGTAAAAACTGAAAAGTTGCTTTTTAATTGCCAAATGGGCAAATTAATGACACTTGGATGCAAAGCATCTTCGCCCAAAGCAGAACAAAGTCTAAGGTAGTCCGATTTCTTGCACAGTTTGTATCTAGAGCAAACTGCAATTCAGTATTGCATTGTTCGTTAAAAAAAAATTAACAAACTCTTTGTCTCTTCTCACACTTAACTCGATTAACTGTCACCTGCCTGATGACATTTTAACATTTCCTATGTCATGCTTTCATGTTCCAGATGTGCAGAATGCCACTTGCTTCACATGGACTTTGTAAGATTTCGACGGAAAATTGAGCTACTTTTTACACGAATTGGAGGCAAAGCAATAAATGAAGGCATTGCCAAATGGCAACTGGCACCTCTGATTAACCAACTAGACTGGTTTTATAAACTGTGAGAAAGTCCGCTCTCTGACTGGCTGCTCCTTCTCTCGCACACAGGTCATGCTAGCTTGACAAAGTGCGAAATTTTTTTCATTTTTTTAAGAAAAATATCAAGATTTTGGAATTGAAACCATGATTGAGGTGTAGGAGCTTCATGCATCACCTGCAAAAACCCGTTTTGAAACATCCGCCCCGAATTTAATGTGCGTGCCGCAGAGTAGAGCAAAGGAGGAAAGAGATTGGTAGTGGAATGGCTTTCGAGAAAAATCATAAGGTACCGCCTTTTTCCGGAGAAGTTCGCCAGTTAAACCATTGTAAACCACTTATTTTGTGGCTATGCTACACAATCATTTGCTTCGGTATACATTAAGCTAACCGTCTTACCACGTGCTCACTTTGATTTTTATCGATGGAACCAAAATAAGCAGCTTTGGCCAACCATACAGTGATGCATAGACTTCCACTAAAAATAGTCATTCGCCCTTAACGCTTCACCTCAAATAAGTTTCGGTAGTTTGAGCCAATTAACGGGAGAAACAGGTGAATTTATCTGCTCTGAGTAAAGCCCCCTTGCTTGCGACCAGAGTGAGGACAGTCTTTCGCCCTATATATATATATCATATACATATTAGTATTTATATTATATGTATTTGAAAAAATTTCCCTTCTGCTACTGCATGGGCGTATTTTGCACAGGCCTAGAGGTGTTTGGGGTAGAATAAAAGTGACAGAACAAGGGAAGCCTATGACGTTAATTGAAAGTAGATTGCCTCCATAGACCTGAAAATGGCTGTTGGAAAAGTGTCCAATATACTAAACTATGACTGATGCCTTTGAAGCCAAAATACACACCTTACGATAGACAAAGTCTCATGACGACTCACCCCCTCCCAAAAAAAGAAAAATCATGTTCTTCTGTTGTGGCGAGAAAACCCATTTTTTGACTAACTTATTACGATGGATGTGAGTTTCGTTGATGATCCGTTAAGAGTTGAACTTAGAAGCGTTTTTTGACCAAGCTTTTTTCTCTCGAATCAGGCAAATTTAATCTGTTTTCACGCTTGAGGTAACCAAAGAAGTCAATGCCTGTCGAAGGCCACTTACATTGCCTAACAAGACACAAGCCAGCTGTAAATTCCACTTTAATAAATTTTTTGTTTCTCCAAAATAAAAGAGAGTTCGCACTTACCTCCTATCTAGATGGAGTTAAGTTCCAATGCAACAAACCTCTTTGAATGCCAGTAAGCATTGCATGACTTTGTGCATTATTCTTCTTAATTGAATATTGAAAATATTCCAGTACATCCATCATTTCGATGAAACGATGAAGACAAAAAAGCTAGTACGATCGGTCCCATCTGAGAATATCACTTGAACTGCTCATTCTACGAGGCTTACTGGATGGTGAATGTCTCTTTACAGTGTCACAGGAAGCAGTTTTGTCAAGCAGGCTGAAAAAGATACATGAAATGAAATTTGGCTGTCCTAATATGGTCTAAGGGATGGGTTAGGAGTTTACAGTTGAGAATTATCCTTCAGTCTATGCAGAAGGCTCTAAATTTTCAAGTGAGAACAAGCAAAGAAGCCGCAGAATAATTCTAGAAGTTGGAAACATTTTAACATGAAAATCGATCTTGCTTCGATAAGTAATAGAGTTTGCCACACCTAAGCAGCTCTAGAGTTATCATCTAGTTTCTTAGACTTCAGTTTTTTGATGGGCAAGCAAAAAAGATTTAAAAAAGGTGGTTAAAAAATGGAAAGCAATAATTTCGATTGCCAATGTAATTGAGTAGGGGATAAAACTTGATTCATGTCTCGAAGCCCTTCTTCACTGTTTTAGTTAACTTTACTGGATTTTTTACTCTAAAAATTGTTTTTTTTTTAAGTCCTAGGCCTCATTAGAATTCCAATGCCCAACGAAAGACTGCTTTTCTTCATTTTTTAAGTGAGCTTATTCAGTCGAAGCGCAGCTTTTAAGATGGCACAACCTAGTAAGCTAACACAAATGGGATTCGATCTGTCATTTCATGGAGTTTGCACCTTTTTATGAGGAAACAATATTGCTTCTACCGAGAGGCAAAGGGACTCTAGAAATAAAGCGATTTTACACGCTATTTTGATGGGGAAAGACGGACCAGGCTCCTCCAACCTAATTATCAGGAAGTCGGATTGAGTTACCTGAAGTGAACAGGGATGCATCGAGAACCAAAAAGGTAGTATTTCGGGTTGCCCAACTTAAGATTCCCATTTCAACTGAGCTGGCTCCCATATAATTGGTCACCAAACAAAAGCCGGAGGTTTACTTGTTTGGTCTTGAATTGGTTGTCCCACTGACCCAAACGACTCATGGTCTGGTTCCCACATCATGCATCTAATAAAGCTTAATGCTTTTTGTTATCAAAAATTAATAAACAAACTGTTAACCAAAGCTAGGGATATTAAAGACCGAAAACTGAACGATCTTCAGTCCCTCAAAGGGGTCTCTTAATTTGTCGGAAGTTCTGCAAACACAAATGATCACTTGACAACTGAAATAAGACATTTTAACAACTTGTAGAACTGAAACATGATCGAAATCACATTAAAGGTAAAGGATTGGATGCTTCAAAGTAGCCTGTAATCATGCTATTTCACTTTGATAAGTTCGCCGACTCGATGAATAAATAGATTATCCGCGTTAAACTTGTCCACTTGTCAGTAACACCCAATCTTTGGAGACCTTGTGAGTCCCCTGAATGCACGATTCTGTAAATTGTCACCGTACTTTAACCCCAGAAGAAATTCGGCTCCCACCATGATCAGCTTAGTTCTAATGGAGCAGGATCATCTGCACTGGTTTGTCTTATCACATGGTCAGAGGTGACCGAGATGGCCACATTGGCGGCGGCAGTAAATGAATATGTGGTTCAATCGGAGAACATATAGCGGATATTAAACTCACTCTCGTGAACGACTAGAGCACAATAGAAGGGGCGTGAAGGCCATTTCATCTTTTGATAATCAATTCAATCTCGTGTCCATCAAGATGGGAATTTAATGATGCAATGATCTTTTTCGCGTGAACGTAGCCGATTGGAATCCAAGCATATGACAAAGGAACATTAAAAAGGCTGTCAAAAATGGTGACAGTCGAGTCCTTGCAATGGAACAAGTAATTGTTCCTTAAGTCACTTTCTTTCTTCATTCAGCAAGTGAGTGTTTCTTTCCCTAAAAAGTTAAAGTGTACAGCATTGGCATGTTTGGTTTTATATGTTTGCAGGGCGTAAATAGTGAACACATATGAATTTTAGCTGATTTATAAAGAAAAGGATTGGCAGATCCCGTAAAAAGATAAGAGAGTAACTCCTATTCCAGAATAGAAGTCTGCTTAGAAGGTTTTCTCTTCAGTAATTTATGAAGCATCATCGAAAGAGCTACTTGAGATGTTTGACCCACAGTCGAGCTCTGTGGTTCGTCCATTAAAAGCTTTATCCCCCTGAGCCCCGTTGACAGCTGACGCGAGGCATGGTGTCATTCAAAGCTACGAAAGATAGAGACGGACGTGTAGACATCATGGCGAGATGGTCAAAAGATAGGTTTAGGTACATTCTTCACCTATTATTTGCGAAAGATGTAAAGAGCGAAGGCACAATTACAGCATTCCTACTACAAATCCAACAAATATATTAATTAAATGCAAAGCTGATCACCTAAAAATTCTTTGACAAACAGCTTTGAAGGAGTACGAATAGTAAGACCGACCATTAGGAAGCTGCCATCTTCTACACAGCAACGCTACAAAGGATTTTGAGGGTACACTGCAAAATGCGTTCCATAGGGCTGAACTGGTGATAGGAGTCTTAAACATACCATAACTCTATTTTAGAAAATGTTTTTTAATGCAAATGTTCTTTAGAGACACAAAGCAAATCACCTAGACTACGTTGTAAGGGGTGATAATTTGTCAGTTTGTGCATTAGTTGCATTACCTTTCTTCCTACTGTCATTTTAGGCACCAATGACAACGTCAAAGTGAGGAGTTGATTCGGGCTATTTTCTTCACTTATGGGCAATAATTTCTAGCACTGTTTACCATTTTGGAATCATTTTCTTCTTTCTTCACGGCGCACATAAACTGACATTCTAAAAATAATTGGAATGCAATAGAACAGTCATTTCACTGATTAACTTGTGTTTTCCTTTTCTGAGGAAAAAGAGGAAGCGCCTCCTTACATTCTTGAGTTGTGTCATGGTGATGATCATCAGCCCCAATTAATGAGCTTCAATAGACTGCCGTCACACCGGCAGTGCATTGCATCCAAAGCAGACAGAGCCTGTTGAGTATGTTGGCAGTAGTCTGCTGCTGACCCTTCTCCAAATATTCTATACCAATCATTACGAGGTGTTCAACGTGGTGGAAAGGCGTTAGAGGGTACGAAAGTAGCGAGAGCACAGCTGAAGACAGTACATTACATTCATTCCATACAGCGCATAAAAAATTTTCGAGTAGATTTTACACTTTCTTTGAACTGCATCAAGTCGTTTCAATCGGGCATGCTGAAAACACCGGGGAAACTTTAACCACTTCGTGCCTTATTGTTCCACTCCCTATCTTTGTTTATGTCCACTTTAAACCCAAAATAGTATGATTTAATTAGCATTAATATTTTTTAAAAGGTTTACACTCAAAGCAAAACTTAATCAAGAACTACTTGTTTCTTCTTCATAAGCTCCGTGGTTAACGTCTTAGGACTTTTTGCATAAATTTCAACCTCTCAAGGAAGAGCCCAAAAACTGTGCTTTTCTCTCCTTTGGAACAAAGGCCAAGAAGCATGATATGTAAATTTTATTTAGTAAAGAGTGGAATTCCCTTTCCAGCTCTAAAATATATCAGGAATAAAGTGTAGGATTCTAGACAAACCCTTTAATTAAACAAATGCAATTGTGATGTTAATTTATGCTGCAGTTCTCTTAAACACCAATTTAATGTAGGTCTATTTTTTACCCTTCTACTTCGCAGTCTGCCGCCTTCATGCCTTGACGAGATGAAAGAAAAGTAGTGCATAGAGGATGCCGATGTTAAATTTCTGTTTACCAAAAAGATTACCATCTGCTTAGGAAATAAATAATTTCATCACGGTTCAGCACGGAGGCATCGAGGATTGACATCTCGTTGGTCTATAGCAGGCTCACTCGCCTTCTTTGAGTTTCACCAAAAGTCAATGGCGCGAACAGTTCTATCACAATGCATACATTCAAGTCCAAAGGAAAAGAAAACATATCTTAAGTACCTACGAGGAAAAATCTTTTCTTTTGAAAAAAATCAATACGTGCAAGATTTTACTACTACTGAATCAGGAGATAATCCGAGTAATAAAGAGGCAAGCTAAAATTCTTTGAAGAAATATTGTGAGCTTATACGCTGCCAGCGGGATCAACTCACTTATTCGTTGTGACTCCACAAGCAGACTGAAGAAGCAGTCTAACAGCGTAGATCTTTCATTCGATCGAGTCGGCAGCTCTATAAAGGAACAAGAGTCTCCATTTTAACAGAGAAGTGGTTTTGTTGGCTAACGATAAATTGAAGAAGTGGAGAATTTATCTATCTTACACGTAGGTGTATTTTGAAAACACTCGGGTGAAATTCTTCACAGAACAGAGTTTTATATTGGATTATAAAATCGAAAAGCATTGATCTAAATGCCAAAATTGTGTGCCAGCTTCCAATTATGATAGAGGTTTCTGTGTCCTAGAGAGCAAAAAGGACCGGCAGCTGGCTCGTGACACGTGACTCGTCCCAATTATAGTAAGAAAGAATAAATAGACTTTTGAAAGAAGTCTGTTTAAGGACCACGCTAACTTAGAAGTTCAAATGAGTGAAGGCCATATTGCTAGGCATTTAAATGTGTGCCTGTCTGCGGTTTCATGAAAAAAACCCGAAAATGATGGTGGTATTGTGATGCCAAAAGCAGAAGGGAAAAACAATGCCATAGTGTAATGTGGCAAAAGCGTGGAGCTGAATGCTTGGCTTGATCTCGAGTATTCGACTTTCTGTTCATGACAAAGAGCTTTGATCTCTGACCAGCAATTGTGCTGCTGGTGGGACGCAATAATGTGAGAGGATTTGGCCTCATAACCACCATCTTGAGAGAGAATTCAATGATCTTCGGTCTTCCAATTTTTACTTTGATAGTCTGCCTAAATTATGTAAGCATCTCTTGCATGCATCTAAGGGACTCGTGGTCTATTTATCGTTTTATCACTCAAAATTCCGTAGGTAGCTCGTCGCTACCGATTGAGATAATTAGAGATGGACGTGTCAGGAGCCTAAACAAAAGCCTTCAATCATGTACGGGATAGTGTATTTGGTTTTTATCTACGTCAGTTGAGTAAATAGAAAAATACCTGGGAGTTTGTCATATGGGAACCGACCAAATGTCTTCAGTTTAACAGGTGCCAGACAAAGATCCACCAAAACATTAACATGTTGCCTGACTCTTCAACATGAATTGTAAAACGCGTTTGCTGATAGAATTTGCAGCAGAGAGGCTTTTGTATTCTAGTGTTAGTCAAGTAAACAATAACAGTGCTCATTATGCCCAAGCCAAGAAGCGTGGTCTTCCACACTGCCACACACCTATGAGAAGCAAAAAAACCATCATTGGAATACCATTCCTGCTTGAATTATAACCATTCCGTATAAAGTCATCAATTACGAATTTAATGTTTAAGGTGATACAAATGGAAATGAGACCTGTCTGCCTAACTTAACTGGAGAGTACATTATGAAAGCACTGAGGTTGTGAGAAACAGCCGGAACTATTTGATCAGTTATTATGCAGGGCGTTTCCCACAAATCAACTCTAATTCAAGCCAAGCACTACCATGTATCCATTTTCCTTTATCAGAAAATATTCTAATTGACAAGACAATGGCGTTTTTAAGGCATAAAAATAGCATTAATAAAACCACAAATATGCGTGACATGTAACTTACAGTTGGAAAACATGTTTGCGGAGTCCGCCTTCTAGGCAAGAGGCGGCCAGGAAACACGAAACTGAATACGAAACGAACGTCATCTGCCCCCGGGTAGGGTAAAATATAGCTTGACCAAACCTAACCCTCATTAATGTATCCTAAGGGCTTTTCTAGCTGCTTGTAAATTGCAGCATACCATAGCTTCGTCACTTTCCAGGTGTCTGCTTTTCCAGTGTAAATAAATGGGAGTGACTGACACACAAAAATCTGTTAATAATTCTGTTAAAATCTCCCCACAATCCGAGTATCACATTAAATGACTTCTAAAGTATGCCTTTCATCTATACCTATAATGCAGTAATAAATTCAGGGCAAAATTTTTAATACGCACTATTTAAATTTTATTTTAACCCTAGACAAATAGGTCTCCACATAGAATGCACTTTCCATTAAAATTGTCCTGCCTCAAATTACAGGGCAAATGAATTGCTCCATTGCAGTTAACTGAGCACTTCAGTAGGCAAAAGTATAGTCCCTCATGTCAAAAGCATTTTGGGGAAAATTCTATTTGCATGCCATTATTTGACAAGTTCGCTGCCAGTGCCACATAAATGTGACGTAGCGAGTTTAAAGTCTAATCAAATGGTAAACCGTGAATAGGCTGATGAGTCTAAAACAGGAAACAATAGACGTAGGATGTTCTCCAACTTAAGAGACGTACACTCTCCTGAGAAAATGTTAATTTAGTCAAGATAGCGTTGTCAGTCAGTGATTGCAGAAGAATAAGACTCCTTGTACCCAAGTGTGTCGACGGATCCGGAAACTTTGTCTTTACTGAAAAGTCCTCATATGCACTCTTCTTGCATATAACTCACCACTACTTTCGTCTTGATTTTCATGAGCTATGATGGGGTAAATATAGAGGTCAAAGCGGAGGACAGAAGTCACGAAATATATTGATGTCTGCTTTACTTATGGGTGGAAAGTGGGGGAATGGGTAAGGGAGTTCATGACAAGCTAGAACTTTAAGGTTGTAGAAATAAATTTAAAAACTTCGAAAATGGTACATTTATAGCCTTTACATTGTGTCAAAACAGCATTTGGAAAGGGGCTTTTAGGCAACAACTTTTGTTGCTGCAGCTTCATCATCCTGTCCCAGTAAATTGCGCGTACCTAATCTCCTCACTTTAAATGTTCTTAAAGGATTGAATAGATTATTCTTACAGTAATATGTGTCTAGTAGTCACCTTGAATTTGATTTCCCACTCATCGTGAATAATACTCTAAGTGTGACACTATCAATCGCTTAAAATATTTAAACATCGTACCGCTTGACAACCAATTATTCCATTACTGTCACATAATGTACTTGAAGTCTTCCGTAGACTCGAGCATTCGTGTTTAGGATGAGGGATAGAGTAGATCACTACCTCACGCTGAACGCTTTAGACATGTTACCATGTCATCGGAACACGCACCGAACACTGGTACTCTTAATAGAGCGCGGTTGCCCTTGGCTACTGCATATAGTACTGTCACAGTATTATCCCGAGTCTTAATTGACGAGCTAAGGTCATGATGCGGTGTTCATGCCAACCTCCAAGCCATTCTGCCTCATCAACACCTAAACCACCACAGTGTTAAATAAAAATGGCTGTGAGACCCTGTGTATGACAAGTTGGGCTATTTGCCCTGGATTTAAATTGTTTTACCGCTTCTCTTCAATGTTAATGGAATTTGCTTACATAACTGTGTGTTAAACGCCTAGCCTTTCACAAATTCTTGATCTGCTGGTGCTCAATCGGCAGCAGAAGTTAAAGTACTCCTAAAACTTCCCACCAGTTCTGTCATTTTAATGTGACTCTGCAATTACGTACTGCAAATAATGTGGCATCGGTCCGCCGGTGTAATGATTCAATGTCCTCCACCACCCTTTCATTAGCCTCAACTTTGATATCAAGTGCAGATTAAACCCAGCGAATGGGATTCAAACGTGGCTGCTTTACAAACCAGGATCAACTCAGTATCAAATCTTTGCATATATCTTCTAGAATGTATTATAGTAAAATTAAAAGCTAGTTCGATGGTGGAACGCATAGCTTAGAAACAGTTAAATAATCTGTTTGTGATCAAATATGATGCACGAAAGATGCGTTGCGTATTAAGGAACTTGCTATTTTGGTTAAGGTGATTATCCAATGGAATAAAAACAGGTTAGCAAGAAGCCTGTATGCATTCGCTGTTGTTCTCAAAATGTGCAGAGTTTTCTCTTTGTCAAACATGCATTTTCCCATCAATAGATGTAGCCAAAGCCATGCAGTGGCCATAAACAAATCGCCAACTTCCACCAAAATCAGTCAGCCCTATTGCCAATTATGTCATTGCAGCCAACACCAGCCTGTCTAATTTTGCACAGGTGTCAGAGTGTCACACAGGTACCCTCTGGGAATTGAGTGTATGGGGTTCTCCATTATTCAAGGAGACGAGTAAGGCCTTTCCCGCTGCTCTCAGCCTACATTTACCTACTTACTGTGTGCTGGGCATTTTACCAAGGCAAATCTGTTAAACCTCTTTTAGATTGTATCGTTGGAAATTTTGCAGTTCTACTTTGTCAGTAGATTGAGGGAAATTGTTCTTAGAATCGTGTAAATCCCAAAGACAAGTGACGGAGAGTTAGGCTCAAGTTCCGTTGTGAATAACACGTTTCCAGATAGACTCGTGGTTATGTCAGGAATGCTTCTTTTAACAAGTCAACCTCTGACTGCCACTGAAGGGTTTCATGTGGCTAGATTTTACTTGGAACGGTAATGCACCAGGCCATACTGATGCTGACCCACGCGGTTCTGATAAAACCACACCTCCCTTAGGCTGAGATCTCCTACACGACGTCCACCAGAGCGAATCCTGTCATGGAGCCTATCGACAAGCAATCCACTCGCGTGTCACTTTAGGCTGTTCTCATCACGCCAGGCCTTCTTCAACAAGAATAATTCTTGACAATCTTACTTTTTTGGTTAAAATTTAACTGTTGAATCCTAGTCATCTGTGCGTCTATCGCGTTCGCATTTTCCAGTTGACCATTCATATATCTATTGGCAAGAAGAGACGTTGACCACCACTGGGGTACAGGACAGGAGGAAACCCGGTGGATGAGGATGATGTCGATGGGCAGTATCTTGGATAAATTGAAAGTTATCGCATGGATTAGTTTCAGAGCGGTTGGCAGTCTTATACTGTCTTCAAAGGGGAAGACTCCTCATGATAAGCTATTCTGCCTGTTTCTAAAGATATCTATATTCAACCCCTTTCAAATGCATTGATTTAGCACATTCTTACAGTAATTGCAGGGTTCCCTTAGCAGTCGATCTCTGATAAAGTCCCGCTGAAGTTTACCACTTACCAAGCGACCATGGTCTACAGGAGATGCAGTTAAAGGTAGCGGGTCGCTTGGGAATAACCAAGGGCATGCTCACTTAACGCTACAATTACAAAGCGATGCGCTTTATGGTGTAGGAGAAGTGAAAGTAGAAATGATGTACCTCGACAATAAAACGACAAATTGAAAACAATGTTATTCTCTGACTGGCTGTTTTAGCATGAAAAGTCAGCCACTTGTTGGTTCTCATTAATCTGACTACACTTTTTCCTTTATATCAACCATCCAGATGGTCATAGCTTTTCTGTTTTAGAAGTTACCCTTTCATTTATTCATTTGATCAATAATGCAATACTTACTTTTCCGTTCATGTATTTGCTGATCCATTTGTCAATCCGTCCGCCGGTCAGCCGGTCCTGCTTTACCTAACCAACCTCTCTGTTAAGTGTTAGGCCTTCCAAAAGGGTTTCTTCCTCCTCATTTGGCTTGTATAAACTAGTTTAAAAACCACTTCCTAAAAATGATCTGTTTCTCCATTTAGGCACCACTTTATTCGCTCTTATATATCCCTGCACTCTCCTAACTCTATCAGTTTTTACCATGTTCCTTCATCCATTAATCTAGCAACCCATCTACTGTTCCATACTTCCAGCCACATAAGCTTCTATCCACCCTTCAGAGCATATAGCCATTGGACCACTCATCTATCCCTTAATTTGGCAATCCTTCAGCCGTTAATATTTACATTGCAAGATTCATTTGTTTGTTTAATCTTCCATTCGATTAACCAATCTTGCACTTACCAGTTCGCTAAACCTGCGCATTTCTTTGCCCTCTCATTCAACATGCTAATCTCTGGTCACTTCGTTATATATCATTTAACATGACTGAGAAGGAGATGTTGCGTGGTGAAGGGACATGGCCCCCGGCACAACCAGTCATTCGTCCGGCATTCTAATCATCCATTCATTCGCCTTTGAGTCTGCCTAGTGTTTTGACTATGTGACATTTATTTAAGCTATCCAGATGGTTAGCTGTTAAATCCTTTCATTCATTCTACCACCCCATCATCCGCTAAATCACTCAGCCATCTGTTCACTCTCCTGTCCAACAGGTCAGTTATCCATTCATTTGCATAGCTACTTACCCAATAGCGTTTTGGTCAATTACTATATAAATTTTCTTGTCTTTAATGGAATACCAAAATTCGACCCAACCAGAACCTAAAATTTTATCATTCAGGGTCTATAATGGTGCTAACCATATATATTTAAGCCCTCTAATTTATCAACCTACTCAGCTATCCAGTGATGTGAATGGAGAGAATCTCCGCGGCTGTAGCAGCAGCTGCTAGCCGTGAAGACTCACTTAGTATGCTAACACTATCAGGAAAGAGGGCAACCTTTCTTTGGCAAGTGTGCTAGTCATCGGGAAAAGCCAACCGCAACTGCACACAAAAACTGTGAACGCTACACAGGAAATTTTGCCTATTAAACAAGTAACCTTGTCAAACAAACATAATCAATCCTTAAATGGTGCTATGGAGAAATTATTAGTTTGTTTGAGGTGCAGGAGTGAGCTTTATTACCTGCCATGATGGAATCGTCGAATAAATAATTTAGAATGTATCTGCTGCTCTAAAAAGTGACCCATAGTGAACTGCGTTAGAAATGTAACATCATTGACGGTTATTTGCAAAGGGAATAAAAAGCGCCTTTGATCATTGAAACACAAAATTCTTGGAGATGATGCCAAATAAGCAAGCGAACTCAACAGGTTTTTATCCAATAAGCCACTGGAAATTTTCTAATGTGCTCGCGCTTTTACAGGTCTGGCACAGTATCCTACTGTTGAAGCCGATATGGTCGCAACATTCTCTTTGGGGAAGAATATGTAGTCCAAATCATCAGAGTGATGGAATTGGGCGGCTTTATACGTAGGCGGTGTAGTCAAACGAACTTAAATTGTGTCTATGGACGACATGTGAGTGGTGTCAGGACCACATGACCTGCCTTTGCTCGTATCACTCCAGCAGTAATTTTGTAGGCGCATCTATCACTGATTATTCTCTAATCTTTGCTTTGTCCACTTCAGTGAGGTTCTCCATCTTTTGACATGTACCATAGGCAATTTCCTTAAGTTAGCAGCAGTGACCCAGTTCTAGGAAGAAAGTGCGTTAAAAATGGGCGCAAGTCCTGTCATGTCTGTCAAGTGCCAAAACCTAGCTTACTAGCACCATTTAGTGATAGAAGTTAACTTCCCAAGTTTGCAAGCAAATGTCGGAAATACCAGAAAATTTATTCTGGAAAAAACTTTTTCATGAGCCCATGTGATGAAGATGAAGTAAAGACCAGCTGCGCTTTACTTGTCTAGAAGCCACAGACCATAGACCGTATACCAATGCCTACAACTGAGAGCATGACAGAGCTGCGACTTCGGATAAACAGCCGTTGATTTCGCTCCACTCCACTTAGATCAAATCATGAAATAACTGCAAAATATTGCCTTAAAGGACTACTTCCACAGAAAGCTTTTAAGGTCCTCAATAATTCGAGTACAGTAAAGCTGTCACAGAAATAACTGCGAGACGTGTCTTGAACTACGATTGAGGGAATCACTCTAACCGCCAAGCCATTAAAAATGCGTCCTTCTTTACTCAAACGCCAACAAGAGGAGTACGAATCAGGTTACTTTCTCTAATCATGCTCTTGAATGCACTAGTAATACTTTTTCCAATAGAGATACTACAAATCATCTCATCACGATGCTGCTAGTACTCTCTCTTGAGTGCTCCTTCATGGAGTCAGAGAGTACTTTTGACATTCAGCTGATAGTTTCATGAATTGCAAAACTTAAAGGATATTTTTGGAAGTAGTTACACAATTTTGGAGCACTGAGATGCTATAAAGCTCTTTTTAAACCATATTTGGTGTAATTTCATCATTTAGGTGAACCATTAAATGAGCACAAGAGACTTCTGCAAATCCTGTACTTCGACGCCGATAGCTCGGTGTATAGCAAGCGCTGTTCCATCGGCAAATGCAACATGGTGCGTTCAGATCGTGACCACGTGTGTTGTGCTGCAATGACATAAAATGCTTTTGTTTATACCGAAGGGCAGGAAAAGAAGACTTGAAATTCAAATGCTCTCTTCTTTTCTGTTGGAGAGTGCTCTCGAGATACACAGCAATTGTAGGCATTCCATGGACTGGAAAACACATGCTTGTCAAACTCAAATATCTTTAAAATTTTAAAAAATTGCTTTTACAGAAAAAAAATGTTTCATGTATGGTCATTAATTTATGAGTCCTCTGAGTTTTGTGCCTCTTGGTTTCCAAAACATCTGCGTTTTCTAGATCAGACGTAATGAGGCATTGAATTTTGTGGTGACTCTTTTTTCTAGCAATGGGAGATTGAAACAAAAATCCGAAAATAAAGTGTAGTGCTCTAATGTCCTACTTAACTGGGTGCTTTGGTTAAGAGGGCATTTATACCTCTGCTACTATACTGTAATACTTATGTTGTTTTAATGTGCCTTTCAGGGAGGAGGCAAGCAGGAAATCCGAACCTTGTAACTGGGTCGTCCTCTCCCTTACCTAGTGACTGTGGCTCCCCTTCTTCTTGAATATTGTATTTTCCCTATCCATCTTGTCGTCTTTAATAAAGATGTCCAAAGCAAACCAACCGGGCTTGTCTAGGAACGCTAGGAATCGGGAAGCGGAGACCGAGGAGCCTCTCTCCACAATACTCATGATTACCGGTGTAGCGATCTGACCATGTTGGTAGCCTCTCAGCAGTTTTGTAGATCACTGAGTAAATGAAAACGCATTAAAAATGGGCAATCGAGGGACATTTTAGCTGCTGTAAGAACAATGTTTTACAAATAAAATATTGCCTACTAATTGTTTTCTTTTTGATAAAAATATCATACGCTTAAGTAGACTAGCATCCTTCTGAGTCCACTTGAAAATATGCGAATTTTAAGTGTTGATTATGCTGAAAGTCATATTATAAGTTTATTTATTCCACCTTTTTCGAGAAGCTTGTGCTAGCCCCTCAAATTTTTCCTGATGCCAAATGAGGCTTATTAGTAGAACGGAAAATTTACTACCGGAGTACAGAAGGGTTTGGGGCCATTGGCATGACCTGAAGGCCGTGCCACTCAATGATTGTGCAGTGGCAAAGGCTTCAGTACCCACCCAAACAAAAGAAGTATTAAACAAACAATCGAAGCACTATATGTCTTCCTCTCATTTTGACCATTGTCCAGGAACTGCCCTTGCATAACCTTACGCGTCGGCCATCACAAGTTAAACGCACAGGTAATGGATTTTGCATGAGATTGAGAAAACATTCGACTGCAACGTCGTCAACGCCTCTTAATAATTCTGCTAGATCTGTTCTGAAATTGTATTATAATAATGTCAGATGATCAAACTGCTTTAGACATGGCGTAGATGGCTGCAGACAAACATAATTGTGCTACAGGCCTCCAAAATGCTAATTTCGTATAGCCCAAACTTGCACCCTTCCGCTTCATCGTCTGCTGCTTCCATTCTTTGTCAAGATGAGTATAAAACAACACACAACGGGCTGCAGTAGGGATGCAGTTGTTGAATACTAGCTCACCGAGGCACCATCACCTGCAATGAAAAATATATCTCCTCATAGCTATTCCGCGAAAGGCTTCCAAAATTAATATCAAATTGTTTCAAAGAGGTAAAAGGGGGGAGTTAACGTTTCTTCTACAATTTGTAACAAATAAAAACTTGCACGGTCAGATCTACAACAGTACACGCAACCAAGCAAATTGGAACATGCTAAAAGGAGAAAGGAACCACAGCATATATATTTTAAAAGAAAATGTTTCATAAACAATGGAAATGGATTAAAAGTCTGCCTACTGAATTCCAGTACTATTGAGACAGGAGAAAATCAGGGTATAAAGGAAGCGAGCTGGAATTTTGCCAGGAAGGATTATAAATTTTTGCTAGATCAGCTGCGATTTCATCGTATGGTGGGATCGACTTACTCATTTGTTGTAAATCCACAGCCAGACTACGAAAGTAGCTGCTTGATATAGACCTTTTTTATAATCAGGTCGACTGCTCTTGAAATGAGGCGAAGTCTCTTTCAAGGCGTGTCTAAAATCGGAGAAGTGAACATTGTATCCGTCTTACAAGGTCGCACATCCTAATTTGGATGAGATCTTCTAATTCAACGGAGTAACGGGTGTGATTTTAAAATCAAAGGTTTACAATTAAAAGTAAGGGGATTAGTTAGCTTCCCATCGTTCAGGATATTCCTGTGATTTTGTAGACAACTAAAGGATGGGTAGTGGGCTTGGCAAGGAACGTACGTGAATCTCTCCAATCCCAGTAAGGCAGAATATGCCTTGTCTTTATAAAACTCTGCCCAAAGTGATGCTTGATAACATCAAATTGGCGAAGTGAATCAACTGCGTAAACAAGGATTATGATGCAAGACATTCGAAAGCAAGCACCTGTATGCTTAGCTTAAAAATGAGCCTGAAGTTGATGGTGGTAGTGAAGTGTCAGAAGTAGACAGGACAACCCCGTGTCAGTGGTGTTGCGGCAAAGGTAGGAGGAGTTTACCTGATTTGATCGAGGGAAGCCAACATTCGGTTAAGATTAAAGATTCTTGATCTGTGACTGGTGTTTGCACCGTTGTTAAGGTGAAATCATGAAGAGATTTGGCTTCAGAGCTTCAAAGAATCAAATGACCTTTAGCTCCTTAACTATATATTCTTGCAAAAGAAGAAGGAGTTTACCCTCCATTTATTGTTGAAACTTTTACACTCGGCGCAACAGCTGGTCTGGTAAAGCAGGCTTCAAAGTGGGCTCTTCTTCTTGCTTTTTTACGCCAAGAATGCCTTTGTAAAAGATGCAAGAGGCTGCTAGTGCTCCATGCACCATAATTTGTTATGACTTGGAAAAGAAGGAGAAATTTAGGGCTAATCGTATTATCAAAAGCCATAATGCTTCAGTGAAGCGGACTTTTAACCGATGTACACGTTTGATAGTTCAAGGAACTTGCATGCTTGTCTTAAACTAAAGTAAAACTTAAAAACAGTTTTTGTCTGAGTTTAATAAAAAATTTTCGGCAGAAATTTCGCAAGCTAGTAAGGGGACTTTCACTGCTGAATATAAAGCTAAAGACTGCCCTGATTTGTCCGTGGTTAACCGTTTTTAGGCTTAGATCACTGAATGTACCGAAGTATGACGCATCGTGGATGTCATAAAGGCAATCGTCAATTCAGGGGCGCAATATCACATTAGAGCTCGGTGCAAACGCACTCCTGAATGAATTTCTTTTTGACCTTGTGTACATCGTTAAAGACTTACATTAAAATAGCTCTCTTTGCCATTCTTGAGCTTTATAACCTCACAGAGGCCCTAAGGCCATCCATGCTACAAATTTGTCCTTCGTTCGGTCGTTTTTTTCCTTTTAAGTAGTGGTCACCCAAAAATTCTCTATCCGCTTCTCTTCAACTTAACATTTTGATTACCATTTGTAAAGACAAAATCAGCTTTTCACAGCACCGTATTTGTAGTCAAAGCGGTAGATTTAGCGACTTACTTCCTCCTGTTCCGTTACCATCGCTTATACTCCTTCAGAGGGAGAAAAATAAGGAAAAATTCTAGGTGGACAAATCGGTTATAAAGACATATTTTTCTCTTTAATTGTGTTTGACACGAGGGTAAAATCAAATCTCATGGAGTCGCACAAACCCTACTTCAAAGGAATTAGTTTTTTCCTTTTATTTGCGCAAAAAATTATTATGTAATTTTTCGACTATGCTTAGAAACCCAAAATTATTTCGGGTAAAATCTAGTTTTTAAATCCTTTTCCTAGCTCTTTACTTCCCTGACCTCTATTCGCTAGAGTCTTGTGGCAATAAAAACAGGATTTATATATGATCAATGGCTGAGCAGGAAGAGTTAGTAGATTCTGACGGGTCATGTGTACCGAAGTAATCGTGGATAGGAATTTGGGCAAATTCAATGCCAAATGGATGTCTGTTTTTAGAAAAAAGCAAAAGAGGAGTCAAAAAGTGGAATCTTACCTCCCATCCCTTGTAATAATTACTGAGCTGCAAATTTTCTCATGAGCCTAAACTCTTCCTGCGGAATAGGGATGGAGAAGATCGCAATTCAACTCCCAGTAGGTAGCTTAAACAGCGGAAAATCTCAAAAAGATGCGGTTGTTGTAAAAAGGAAGCACCTTGAAAGCACGCTGAGCTAGAGGATCTGGAGTGTGAGAAAACCTCAAATGCGAACCTGTGAAATCCAGTGCCACCAAAAAGTCAGAATAGCAGGTTTTTTGATGTCTTCAGACAAAACCTAAGGGCAAGGTTGTGCATCCCACAAAATTTGGTGCATGAAAAGTTACGTCTCCAAATGTATGCACTGGTTTTTTTGCATTAAGAGATCCTAAAACATTTTGAATGTCTTTATTCCTTTATAAGACCTTTCATGTACTCAAGCAGATTCCTTAGTCATGCAACTTTTCCTCTTCCAGATTAAATTAGAAGCAAACTATTGGAAAAATATACGGCACTGATAAATGGAAGGCATTATTTACCCATCAATTCTTGCTGTTGAAAAGTGTGTCTAAGGGCACGACAATAATACAATGTGTCCACACCAATGTATGGGCACTTTTACCCAAAAATTTGAAAATGATTAGATGACCTTCTGATAGGGAACTACATGCTTTCATTATTAAAACACATGGAGTGATATAGTGAGTTCCCGCGTGACTTTGAAGGGGTTTACGGAAAGGAACGTGAATGATTATATTTTGGGGAATAAGATCATCAATGTAAAGGGCAACATCGGTGCTTTCTAAAACTTCTCTCTTCCTCCTGATTGGCCACCATCACTTGTTGATAGGCGTCAAGTGAGCCATCAACTCCTACAAGATTGCAAATCCGATGTCATAAATAAGCAAGACCAGAACTACTCCGTGTCTCTGGCGCTCTATTTTACTCTCCACCAGATAGCTGGCTGCCACTCACGTACCCTCCTTACCCGTCGCCCACGCATACACGGTTGTGGAAGAAGAAGAAGTCCGGATTGAATCCTTTACCTTCTGGTTACTCGGACCGAGAAATCGACAGATCCAAGCTCGTGCACACAAGTACTAGGCCATAATGAAAATCACATCACTACCCCAATTTTCATTTTATGCGCCTTGCCGAGGATATGCTTCATTTCTGCATTTGAAAAGACTACTGAGATCTTGCCCCTCTGTTTTTTTGTTTTACTAAGGGGCAGTATTTTTAGTGAAGGTTTTACCTAAGCATACGGATAAACTGCCTCATGTACGCTTATCTTGACATATTTTAAGGGACTTAAAATGAATTTAAGCCTCTGTAACATTTTTGGCTTCTAGGCAAATGCATTTAAATTTGGTAGAAAATCTTTGCAATGTACCACAATAAATTGTCGGTGGACTCCATTACTTCCTATGTACTCATCATAACCATTGAGTTCATAAGGTAAATGAACATTTCCGTGTAATATCCTGCACACACAGCGTGTTTTTAACTGACAGAAATATCTGGCACACACACGTGACTGTTTATGGACATTGTGGAGTTCATGCGCATGAGTGATGAAGTGATTCATGTGCAATGACGACAAAGTCACGGTGAAGGCTATGTGAATGGTGAAAATTTCATTTTTGCTTTAGTCCTTCCATCTAATAAAAGGACCCGTTTTCTGTTTATCTGCTGACTGCCTGGCAAGCAGATGCGGCGCTGGTTACCACTAAATGATATATTTTGCATTTAACACTTATAGGTTACCTATTTTATCCTGATAAAGAAATCGTGCTTTGTTAACCGGTTGAAGGACAATCAGTTAGATGAGATGTTACTTGGATTTCTGTGAGAAAACTACCCTTTATAAAATAACTAGGAGGGAGGGAGGTAAGAAGGGCGAAAGAGGGGAATTTACTGACTCATTTCTTATAATCTTTTATTTGTGCAACAACCCCTTAATATTAGCCAATCACTTGTTCTCATATGCGATAGAATAAGCAGTTAAGAAACACGGGCGACCAAGGCTAAATTTAGTCGTTCGTGTTGGATGCGAAATGGCTCAAGAAAGTGAAAATTACTATAGATCGTAAACTAAAGTATCCTGTGATTACTTACTTTTTTGATAAACGGGGATGACTCATTTGACTGTCCTTATTAAAAGGTCAGGAAAATGAAAGTCCCCACCCAAACTACTTTCGGGGGTGACCTACCACTGATCGATGCGGCCTTTGATTGGCCGACCGGGTTACTTTATCTTCTTTTTTGGCAGCCAATTTATTAACCATCTAGAATATTTTAAACACCGCAGTTCGTATCCTTTTAATCAATCACTGTACCATGGAGGTAGGTTTAAGTGACCACTTAGACACATCATCTCACGCAAGAGTACGCATTAAAGATCCCGATAGGGTCCACAGCAGTTTCTAGTAGGCCTGGGAGGCTGAAAGCACGGGAAAATAGAATACCACTAAGCCACCTAAAATGCAATTCACACCCAAGTTGGACCTAGGTCATTACACATATCGCCTCTCACGTGCAGGGGCTACTGTTGTGCCTTCTTCACTTACTCGACTTAAGCTTGTGCCTTCAAATTGCCTGTACCCCATCAAATATTCTCACCTGAAAGGGCAATTTCCTATGCTTTGGAAAATTGATGTACTTCTTGGCGTATTTTACTGTAATCAGGAAAAATTTCAAATGCTGGAACCCCACTTTCAAGCATCATCATACCTGTTAGCAAATTTTGATTTTCAGCCTCAAAAATAGCAAAATGAACACAAATTTCCAAAGTATCCATGACATTCGCAATAACTATGGGGCAGGGTTCAAAAGTTTTATAGCTCCTGCACAACTTGCGTCCGATGTCTCTTGATGATGTTGGTTTTAGACGTCGGCTTTTATTAAGGCACCAATGGAGGCTATGAAATTCTTCTCAAACGTTAAGAGGTGTCGAGGATATTCCACCCTGATGCTACCGCTTTAGACCTCGAGTTACTGCTGGAAATCGGCAAGACGTGCGAGTTTGCAAGCAGTGGACATTGCGGAAGGTCGGCTTGAGAAAGGACAGCATACTTATCCAGTCACATCCCCTTTGAAAGCATCAATTCAAATGTTATTTAGCCGAGCCAAAATTATGGCATTGTAGCCACTAAGAAGGCCTACTAAGTTGGGCAGTGAGGTTGCGTGTATCCAGGTACTGCGAATGAGAGGCGGTAGGTGGTCCTTTTTGGCCAAGTTATTTTTGTGTATCTTTTTTTGTATGGGTAACTTCTATAAACTAAAAACATTGAAGTACTTTGATGTGTTTAGACACATTCCTAACAACTTTCTACACATTTACAACAGTATTCGCACATACGTGATGGCCCTAGTATCATTTTTGAGTCTGAGGGCACGACTAAGTGGCATCTCTTCTTTACAAGATTATGGCAGCTGCGTGCCCTAAACATGTCAGTTCATTTTAAACCAGAAAAATAGATAGGTAATACTTTGATTGCCCTGGAGGAAAACAATTCGACGTTCCCAATTGTGGTGCCATTTCTGGGGTATTTGTTAACGAATAACTTAATTTCAACTGATAGGTAGTTAGTAAACATGAAATTCTCGAAACAGTGAATTTGTCTTCTTCTTGCCTACCAGATGGATGGCAGTGCCTCAAAGTTACTGCTTTTATAAGTTGGCAGGTCTTAGAGGATCATTCGACTTTAGTAGAGCCTGGAATTTACTACATCAATTAGTTTACCAGATCCGAACAATTTGCAACCTAGCATTTTATTTTTTCCTTCTAATTTGTCCCCAAGAGGCTTTTTACTAACACTGTGCAACGCAAGAATTCACGACTGTACTTCCAGCATAGTGCAAAGCGCCATCATATTTTTCCAGAGCAAATTTTAATACTAACTTTTCTATTATTTAGTCTGGCCCCAAATTTACCCATTGAAATTGCCTGCAAATTTTAAATGCAGCTTTTTCAGGTACATTGTATGCTCTGAAGGACGAATTTTTGAATAAATATGTTGGATGAGACCCCGAATTCCGGACACACAGAGACAGCGATTGAAGGTTCCATGAAGTGCGGTGACTGGTGAGAACTTGTTGGTTGCATTAAAATTTATATATGCCTAAAGTATAACGTATCCAGGTATCGTTCAATCGTTTTGGCAAGGAATTCACCTAATTCGCCTTAATTCCAGCAAGAAAGACAAGACGCAGCTTTTGATGTAATTTACGGAAAGAACATTTGAATTTAAAAGGTTAGATAAATGAGGGTCATGGTGCGAGGCTTTTGAAAATACTTTCCTGCTAAAGCAGGAAGCTGAAGTGACGACTTGAGTGTGAGAAGGCGACTTCCTGTCTACGTCAAAGAGCCTTGATTTCCATTCGACGTTCAGTCTGCTAATGATGTGCAATCAAATGGGCAGACTGGGCGATAAAACCACCGTCTTGAGGGAGCATCCAATAGCCTTTGGCCTTTTAACTACCTACCCTGCTAGTCTGTCTAAATTGTCCAAACATCTTTTGAAAAACTACTCGTTTTCTAGGCTCGGTGATAGATGCAAAGATGGAGGCTGTCGTTATTTCCACTAGCATTAAGGGGCCATATCCCTGGAGAATTTTTAGTTTGACTTCTCGATGTCAAATTGTTGTCAGCTTTGAACCACTGGACATTGCAGAGACGATCGCCAAATCGGCGGCACATTACTGCCTATGAGCTCGACATAAACTCGCCTCTGAATACCTTGCAAATTCAAAATGTGCCTAGGAGATATTAAAAATATCAAATAAAAAGTTTTATTTAGTTTATAAGCCATCGACCTCTAACTTGACACCGGAGCTAAAAGTTCGTAATAGTCTTTTATCTAATCTGTGCTGTCAGATGGACGAAAAAAGTAACTAACGCAAACATATGGTTAAAATAAATCCATCTACCTTTTATGTCTGCAAACTGCTTTTGGTCATTATGTAAATCCGGGTAAAACGGAAGATTATTGGAAATAGTGCAATCAGGTGTCAATCCGCTCCATCAATATTATCAAATTTCTTTAATTGGCTCAGATGAAAAGTACTTCGAGGTCAGGCAAACCATTTGTCTTAGTACTAAAACCCAAAATATTTGCCATATATTTATGGCAAATTTCTCCCTGAAATGGCTTGCTAACCACACACAGTTAAGGGAGTATTTGTAATCATTCTCACTAAAACTCCTTCTGAGCAATGTGTGTATAATAGACGATAACACTATTTATTCTCAACGACCTCATCCTCTTCTTGCTGACTGCGTGTACTAGCCTGTCAGTGACCGCTTCACTTAAATTTTATAGCAGAATAAATTGAGGCGGAGGTACTTATCGGGAGACTGATGTTTCCGTCCCCGCCTATTCCAGAAAACGCCTTAAAATTGCAGAATTAATTAAAATTCTGCAGAGACGGAAAACCAAAAATAACAAACTGTTGAGGATTTGCCAACTTGGTTAATTCAGGTATTCAAAACTGCTTCACTAGGAATGCTTAACAAGTTGATTGTTTTAAGGGTTGCTAGTCAGACGCCTGTCTGCCATTCTTCTTAGATCGCACTGCGTTACAAATTAATTTTTTGACCAAAGCACTAGTTGTTGACTTTGAATGAACTAAAATATTTGTGCTTTGCAGCAAGTATTTGCGATTTTGATTCAGAGGGGTCACGATAACATCATTATTCCATCCCCACTCGTGGATGCAATCGCAGAACTTGCAGAAGTACATTTGGCTGTTATGCTAAAGGAGGAAAAATATACCACCTACATTAATTTGAGGGAAAAAGAACCATGAGGCTTACCTCTCGTGCAAAATTCCATCGTGCCAGGATTGGTGGTGTGATTACGAGTCGGTAGAAGGGAGTTGAGTTTGCATTAAATTATTTGTTGCCTGTATAATATGAACTTCTGGATCCAAAGTGTCATCTAAGTTAATTGAGCTGTAGTAAAGCATTAGTGAAATTGCCTAAACATTTCCGATTTGCTTCCCTTTTGCATTTTCTTTGAGGCTTCTAAATCCAGTCAACTAGCCTTTTAAGAGTTCAACCTCAAATCACAAGAGGTCCAACGAAGAAAGAGCTCAAATTGCTGAATGATCTTTTGTCTATCGAGAAAAACTGATCAGGATAGCTGATGTCGCCCGTGTCTGTGTTGGAGTCAAATTTGGGGCAGAGAAGTGATACAGTGGATTCGACCAAAGGTAAAAATTTAATTCTCAGTATGGATAAGACCTATCCGTTGAATTCTCCGCTTGCAAGCGTTGTTGCCTTTTACCCACAGTCAGTTCAACTTTGGCCACCTATAAAAACGAAATTCCAAATTGCAGGTGTTGCGAGCCCTACAAATGTGGTTTGCTTTTTGACAATCCAGTCTATCCAATTTAATTTTATATCAGATAAACAGGTCAGTAAATTTTGATCTCCTTCTTGTCCTTCACAAAACCCACACACCTTGCAAAACACGTCTGCAAAGTTGTTTTGCCACCTCTATTTCCACCAAGTTTTTTCCTTTTCAAATCCACGTGCTGGATCAATTTGTCCCTTTTTTTACTTAAAAAAAAGCAGAAGACGTGTATATCTGCTGTGACTAAAGGCATCAGAGCAGACCCTGTAAAAACGGCTCTCATAGAAGTCCAATGTTTCCGTGGTTGGAATTGAGTTTGTTTATTCTTCTAGTTTGACCCTATTAATCTCAAGGTTGTGCGGCATCTGGAGAAATACAGGGCCTAATAGACGTTTGACTCAGTAACTGTTCACTGGAGGTCAGTTTCTTCCTAGATAACTTAATCATCCCTATAATGAGAGTTTCAACATCTATCACGACTGCCGTAGACTAATGTGGCACTCCAGCAGACTGAAGGTGAAATTCCATTGCACCGAAACTGATGTGTTCTAATTTTTTGCCCCGTTA